AAGGTAAGAAAAAGCCATCATCATCAGATATATCGTGTCGTGCGCTCTTTGCCACCGCTTAGGATACACTACCTTCGTGTTGTTCGTGTTTGGATGAGTGGTTTAGTTTACTGATTCGTTCTTCTTTCTCGGCTAGTTGAGGTCTGAAAAAGAAAAGAATGGTCGCTTGCTCACTACTCCGTATACTAGTAGTATGTATCGAGTACGAAGTACGAATACTACCAACGATATCTCACCAGACGATTAAAAAAAGAGATATCACTCAGTTTGTCAAGGGACAGACAGAACAGTCCAGCCGATCAGATGTGTCGATCCGAACAACCCGACAAAGTGGATTGGGAGCCGGAGCCGTGATTCTCAACGCAGCCATGCAGCCAGACATCAAGAACGGGAACACGCTCATGCATGGATGGATTGTCGGAGACGGAGACGGAGACGGAAACCTCGGCAGACCTGAAACCTTGTCGCTCTTGCGAGCCCCAAGACAACGGATATCGGATCACGTTACGTGATATTTCCCCCTTTTCCTGCTGCCAATCAGCGGTCAGGGGAAGCTTTCTTTTAGTTCATTCCGCGCATTCCATAGTGCTAATCGCCCGCCGAATATCCTCGATTAGTACGGACTACGGAGTAGTGCTGTATCGTGGGAATAGACTAAGAATGTTCTATGAGACACTTTTTTTGGGGAAGAGGGGAGGGGAGGGGAGCTAGTCGTTGGTGCCGGGATCAGCTTGATTGATGTGCTTCCCCGAGCCACCACCCGCGCCACCACGCCGGACGCAGACGCCAACGCTTCCAGCTGTCCGTTTAACTGCAAGTACTTTGTAGAGCTGAAGGTAGCTCTAGACTTGGTACACGGCTTACATGACGTTCCGTGTCTCAACGATGCAATTGGGAGTGCGAGCCACAGGTGACATGTCGGTCCTGCGCCGCCAACGCTTCCCAGTCGGTCAGAAGGAAGATCGACCGACTCCTGTAAGAAAGTACTACAGACTGAGACTAGTCTACCTGGTAAATTACATACAGTAAGTGAGTCGAGCTCATAGGACCCGCTGTCTTTTTTTTTGGAATTATCGAAACGCAATGGTAAGAATCTGACGTCTCCATCGAACAGGTTCTGGCGACGCTCTAGTGGCTTCTAGCTTCGGTGTTAATTCTAAACCGCCACTACATACTTAGCCCATCCCACTCCCCCCATAGCCCCAAGTCCGGTTATGAATTGGGGGGCAACCAGAGCGGATCCTCTTGACGAGTTTAGAATAGTCGAAGAAAGACGGTGTCTGATTGTTATTCGCTCGGGGATATGGACTTGTTTCCGAGCCGCAGTTAATTGGGAGCTTCAGGGGTAGCTCGTAGCTGTCTACTCATCGGTTTATTCATCGCTGCCCACCAGCTTGGGAACGAGCTATCTGAGTAATACCAATCACCAAAGCAATGGTAAAGGGGGGGCTGGCAAATAAAATGGAGCAGAGCCAAGTCGAAGTTATAAAAACCCCATCTGGAGCTACCTCGTAGTAGGAAAGACTCAGGGGGTATCTGGTATTTGCGTCTCAGATTGATAGGGATGAGGAGATTGCCGCGTGACGACAGTCATAGCAGGTGTGATATATCAGCCTTTCCCAGTCTGGCATTTGATTGTCTCGCCGTTATTATAGAGTCCATAGCTTAGTATTGCCTAGAATAACCAGACAGAAACGCCTTTGAACTCCCCTGACTGTTTCAGCCAACGAACTCCAGCATTAATATTGTCCGACCTCAGGTATCTGTACCTGAGAATAACACTGGAAATGCACTCTGTCCAACCCACCAAGCTGTTAATTCCATGAATTAACTTCCCATCCAGCGGGGCCAACGGATCGACCTTACCTTCGGGCCGACCAACAAGCCAACAGCGATATTAGTGGCCCTGAGTCGAGTCATACCATTGGGAGGTGGATAGGTAGAATAACTAGAATCCTACCTAAAAGGGAGAAGCAGCGTGTGGGGACGCCTTTTATTGCAGTGGGAGCTCTCTCCTGTTCAAAAGGGAAGTTGAGCCAGGAAGTTGACGATTTTAAATAACTATACCCACTTGACGACGAGACAGACCCTCCTTTACCCCCGTTTAGCCCACACTCTAGTAGATGGTTGCTGTCGGTGGGAAAATAGATGACGTTGGAGGTGTGTTGAATAGGATGAGCCTTTGGGGGTGCTTGTTGACCTGGGTTAGATTGAATTTCACTCTGCAAAGGTCCTAGGTAGTAATGGGGTTGATTGTGTCGGATCATTCTCCAGTAGGCAGTAGGTAATCTGGCAATGATGCCGAAGTGCCGTAGCTAGAAGAAGATGGAGCATGGTAATTTATTGTATTGACGGTGATAGGAGGATTTATGGGCCTTTTTTTTTATTCTCATTATTTCATTATTCCTTGTTCATTTGATTTTTGGTTTATAAATGCTCTAGGCAGCATCATGGTCATTGGTGTGATTGACTTCGTAGCAAATGTCTAAATCATAATAGGGAGGGATTGGCCCAGGAAGGACGCCAATCCCCCGTTCTGTCCCAGTTGAAAGAGAGGGGCAGGATCCGGAGCGGGGTGCGACGAGTCTGGTTTCAATGGTTCAATGGTTTGTAAGGGACGGAGAGACACTCTAAGATGAGTATGAAACAGCCGGTAGGGGAGGACTCGAGTGCTCGAGCGTTGACCTAGGTTCGTGTCCAGGGTAGGAGTACGGGATATATAGGGCGTTGTATCCGTACCTGAAGGGTATGGATACAATGACGAGATAAGATCAACAAGACCCGTGGTGTAAGACCTTGACTGTCTTGACCAATGGAAAGAGACGTTTGAAAAGACTACACCATTCGAGATCCAGGGGTAAAGTCTAGAGGACTGAGGAATGGCAGTGATAATTTACTGCGTCCTACCCATAGTACCTGTAGGTATTGACATGGCTGCTATGAAGATGCACGGTTGAAATGATAGTACTCGGTACAATACCATGCTTACCGGATAGATACTGATATTGGAAGGGGAGAACCGCAGACAGGCGTTTGAAAAGCATTCCCGTTCGAGCAGAACTTTCCTATCCTATTCACTTTCTATTTTTATTTGCTATTCGTCCCAGATTCTATTGATCTTGTCTTTCATCTTTCATCCTCATACGTTAGTTCGCCTGAGATAGTTAGAGGGAGTTGATTTTCATATTCCCTACCTGGGGGTGTCGGCCAATCAAACGGCATCTACCCCTTTTGGCAAAGCCTCAGGTTGTCACAACCAACCTAACTCCATGATAATTTGAGGTGTTTCCACTTCCGAATTTCTCCTAGTCCAGTGTGTAGAAAAGAGATGAAAGCAATGATGACAATTATCATAGCAATAGCAACGGTAATAGTGCTTCGTAATCATGACAGTGGGAGAAAAAGGAGACGACGGTGTTTCGCTCAGGAACACCAGGGCGAAACGGTAACTATATAAAGTTCCCCTACTGTAGAGACTCTACTCTGTCTATCAAAGCATCCTTCGATCCAACAGACCCGAACAGCATTGGATCAACAGCTGAGAGAAGAAAATACGGAACCACAGGGGAAAAAGAATCCATATAAAACACGCAATCCAGAAGGACATTCCAAATCTTCCCCGTCCTTACTCCAGTTATACCGGTATTGGACTGATTGTTACGGGAATCCCTTCATCGTCATCTGGTTCCTGCGTTGTTACAATCTACCTATTGACCTTTATCCCTTCTGCGTCTTTACTTTGACAATCTCTGTCCCCTCATTCTCCCTGTCAATCCCTTTACGATTCAGACTGACCCGTTCCGGTGGGTATCAATCCGTACTAAATCGTGGTTTCTGGCTTGTACGTGGTATTGTATTGGAATCCGTTGAAACAGTCTGAAGAAATTGGAATATTCTGATCTGTTGCCTGTGGATTAAGCATATTATTTGCTGCAACCGATCTCTCTCAAAGCGCTCATCCTTCAGATAGTGGCATCCATCAAACGATCTATCCATTCCTGGGCTCTGGCGTTGGGGATCCACGGGACGGGCAGAACGCAGGACGAACTAAGCGGTCTCTTCTTTCCCCCTCTCTTTCTCTCTTTCTCTTCTCTCCCCTCCACTCTTCATTTCCCCCCCCCAATCTGTCTGTCTCCCTAGACTACTAGCGTTGGCTCCGTTTCTCTTCCCTCACTTTCCTCTCTCTCTCTCTCCCTCTCTCTTCTTCCCTTTCTCTCTTTCTCCCTTTCCCTTCCCTTTCCCCGTGCTTTCTTTCCCCCCTCCCTCACCACCAAACCTGGGTCCTCTATCAATCCGGCTATTACGCCTTGAGACATCTCCGTCTTGATCACCGGGTAGTGGCAACTCTTTTCCCCTTTTCTCCTTCTCTTCTCTTTTCCCTTTTTTCTCTTCTTTTATTTTTATTTGTTTTTTTATATTCCTTCCTCTGTTCTTTTTTTATATTCATTTTTTTTTATTGTCTTTAACATACCCCTCCCCTTCAATCCTCGGATCACCTTCGATATTCTCTTTTGATGTTCCAAGGGAGAAAAGGCTCAGGAAAAAAAAAGTTTCTTTGAACATTAACGCCTCAGGACACCCCTGTCATTGATGACCCAACGCATCACGAGACAGTCAATTTCGCACCTTTGAGCGGTTTATTGAATCTTCTCTTTTTCTGTGTCGTGCCATTATACTCGTGGTGTCTTCGGCCCTGTTTGTTTGATTGTTCCCTCCGCCAGAACCCACAACGCCTTGTCACCCGCGCCCAACTCAATTTTCGTGTCGAATTCCCGCACGGTTTCATCCACCTTCCCCGACCTCGTGGGTCGCACATTTGCACATCGCCCCCCAATTCCGCTCGACGCCTGCCCGATCGCTCTTATGCTGGAGTAGTCCGTTTGGGCGATTTTGCATTTCATCGAAACGGGTCTGTTGTGTAGGGATATATTTGGATTTTACGTGCCCACATTCTTCGGTTGAATCGTCTATCTGGTGGAAATTCTTCTTTTTCGCCCGCCATGAGCTATCAGCAAGCGCCGGATATGTATCACGACAACTCCGCTGCGCGTTCGCCTGGCTCGCAGCGTCATCAGCAGCCTCTCCACCGCCAGCCGTCGCGACAGTTCGACGCGTACGGCCCCATGCCCGTGAACCTGTACGAGGACCCCATGGCTCGCTACGACACCGGTCGCCTGGAACGCCTGAACCCGTCGCTGCAGAATCCTTCTTATGCGTATGACCTGGCTGGCTCGCAAACTTGGAACCCGAATGGATTTGCCAATGCCCAGTCGCTCGGCGGCATCCGGTCGGCCTCCGCCAGCCTGAAAACCTCTCGCACGGGCCGGGCGGCTCTCCCCACGGTGAGTAGTATCGGGTGGCGCGACGACGAAGTGTCGATGGGGATGGTGAGGCTAACGTTTGTCACTAGACTTGGCTCGACCAGCAGCCGGGCATCCCGAGCCCCTTTTCCAACCTCGGTCCCGGCCCTCTCCAGGGCGGCGCGATTCGTTCCGAACCCACTGGCGCGTCGGAAGTGGACGATGAGCTGATTCCCACCGCCATCGTCATCAAGAATATCCCGTTTGCGGTCAAGAAGGAGCAGCTGGTCCAGCTGATGACGGAGTTGAGCCTGCCCTTGCCCTACGCGTTCAACTACCACTTTGACAACGGTGTCTTTCGGGGACTGGCCTTTGCCAACTTTACGTCGGCCGAGGAGACGGCGACTGTGATTGAGGTCCTCAACCATTTCGAGCTCCAGGGACGCAAGTTGCGCGTCGAGTACAAGAAGATGCTCCCCCTCCAGGAGCGCGAGCGCATCGAACGGGAGAAGCGGGAACGTCGCGGGCAGTTGGAGGAACAGCACCGCCCCATGGCTGGCTCCCAGCTCCAGACCCAGAGTTCCATGTCTTCGTTGGCTTCCCACATCCCTGCGACATCGCCCTCGCCCGTCTCGCAGCGTGGGCAAAAGCTAGGTAAGTTGGGTTGTCCAGTGATTGGTGTCTTTTTAACGTTATCCGTCACGATTTGATCTTACTGCTATCGTCTCTCTGATTGGTTCCTTTCGCCGACATGGATGTGTTCCTAACCGACTTTTCTTTACAGATGTCGACTTGAATGACACCCAGACGCTTCAGTACTATTCGCAGCTTCTCCTTTTCAAGGAGGATGTTGGTCGCGACTCCTTGCTTCTCCCCGCGAACCTTACCCCCGTCCAGCGTCGCACGGTGCACACTCTTGCCCACAATATGGGTCTGGGACATGCCTCCCGGGGATCGGGAGAGCAGCGGCAGGTGCAGGTGTTCCGGGTCTCTCCCGGCACCAATGTGAGCCCGCCCATGACCTCGATCCCTGCGGCGGTCCAGCCTCCGGATTCGGGTCGGCGCGCACTGAACCGCGCTGCGACGATCGACTTCAGTGAAGCCCGCAACGAAGCCCCGGGCCCCTACAACTCTCTCCGTGGGCAGGCGTCGGGTTTCCTGGGCGTTCTGGACTCCCCTGGTAACTATACAAATGCGCAGAACCTCCGAGCCGCCAAATCCTTCGCCGATCTGCGTTCGTACACCCCGTCGCCCGTCCCTTCCTCCGCCAGCTTTCCCACGGCAATGCAATCGAACGGCGCCCGCCTCCAACAGTATGACGGTGTCACCAGCGGCGCCTCCAACACTCCGACCCTGACGCCCGCGCCATCGGGCTCTTCGCTGGGTATGCAGCGGGATGACAATCTGTTGAACAGCCTTGGCGGCCTGTCGCTTGGAACGGGGATTGCGGGGCAGAATTCGAGCCCGAGGAGATTGCGGGGTATGTTCTCTTGGGAGCAGCCGGAAAGCCAACCTTCCAGTGCTGGCCCCATTGGTAGTAACCGATCCATGGGAGTGGGATTTGACGGTCAGTCACAGGAGCGCATGCCAATTAGACAACCCCGAGGCCCTATTTCCGACAAGGGCGCAGGATTTCGACGACAGAATGGACACCAATCGCACGGCAGTGATGAGTTGCGGACCAACTCTGGTGTCGAGATCATTGTGGAGTAAAGAAAGACGCCAACTTGTTATTATTTTTTTGATGGGAGATGAAGACAACGACAAAACTTGTTAGATTGCTTTTCCGCAAGAAGCATACGACTCTTATATCACGAGGCCTGATCCTATACTGCGGTTTATTGGCTTACGATTCGATGAGGGATGACGAGATGACACTCAAGAGAAGCGCAAGAAAAAAAAACAAAATTCTCTGATCTAGCCAAGTTTAGACGTGATTTTGGGGCAGCCCACCAGGCACATCTTTTTGAACGGTCAACTCTATTTTTTTACAATTTTTTTTTTTTTACATTTTTTATTACTATCCTGTTTACTGTTTCTCGGAAAAAGAAAATCCACAAAAAAGGAAGCTCTTGAAGGTTTGAGACCCAGGCACTTTACATGCAGCAACCTCGTTATTATTTATACGCTTATCTTCGACTGTGTCTGTTGGCGGAAGGCAAGGACAAATTTTTTTTTTAATTCCAGGAAGACCACGAAGCACGACAAAAGTCTGAAAAGAATTCCAATCTCTTTTCTACCATGGCAAAGAGAGATGACATACCTGCATTTGCATATTTCTTGGAATGTTTTTTGTATATGGGGCGATTTTTGCATTGTTTAATCATGTGCTTCACTTTTCAATTTTGTCTTCCAATTTTCCAGCATTGCTACACCACCCTGTGTTTATGTGATGCGCCTGGTCAAACTGCTCATGTGCTTGTCTGGGGATTTGGTTCAGGATTAGTATCCCGTTCCGTTTTCTCCAGCTCGCATGCTGGTTTGGCTTCGACTGTATTTGCATCAACATAGGATTTGTGGTCTCGACATCAAAGGGTGGCCGTTTGCGTTTACGTACGGTGGCTCGACGGAGTTCAAGAGGGCATAATCAACCATTCTGTCCACTGATACCAAGACAACCAACCATCGGACTAGTGAGCGAGTCCGATAGGTAGGTTTTCCCAGCCGGTTGTCTACCTATCTATCTTACCTTACTCTTGCCCCCGAGTTGCAAACAAACGAATCTGCCTTTTCTTTATCTCAATTCTTTTACTTTACCATTCCAGTCATTTCCTCTTTCTGTTCTCGCCAATGCATCCACATCCATCCATCACTCCCCCTTTTAATGGGCCTTGACTATCTATCTACCCCACGAGGCCGAGTTTGCACTATCTTCTCATTCTTATCTCTTTCTATCTATCTATCTTGCCCCTGAATCGTCTCTAGTACTTTACTCTGATTACCTTTTTCAGATCGTCAATAAATGTATGTTTTATTATTAGTTTGGACCTACCTGGACTTGACTTTGATGGTGGCGGTAATTATGCTCTGCGATGTAGGTGTTGGTGAGTAAGATTGGACGCATGGGTATAAGGGCTTTCACGTGTTCTTGTATTCAAATCGTGTATTTTAAATTTTACAGAATATGAATCGCTTTCGTTGCAGATGATCAAGGAAGGAGAGTGAGTATTAATCTACTCAATTCATCTGTCGATCTTGTGTAGATTGCCTTGTTTTGTTGGTTTTGTACTCCGTAGAGTTTACTGTTTTTCTCATGGTACTGTTTTTCTCATGGTTCGTTTGAATCTACGATAGCCCTTTTACGTACGTACATCTGTTTGGGTTAAGATGGTTTATCTTATTGTTTATATGTCTAGTGATATACTTGTTTGACTTGGTTATACTTTTATCCATCGATTAGTTCACGACGTACATGTCTTGATAAGCATGTTACACAATTTGTCTAACAGTACATGATTATACAGACTCTATTCAAGCCTAGACCACGTACCTCCCAGTTCCAGGCCGAGAGCCAAAAAACAAACAAAAAAAAAAAAAATATTCCAACGTGGCGAGGAGAGAGTAACGTCCAAAATATATTGAATGAGTGGGTAGGCCGAGTCGTACCTGTGTAGCTCTGGGTAGGGAGTGAGTGGGATGTATATATACATGTAGTGTGTGGTAGGTAAGGTACTGCATAACTACGAGTAGGAACATGATTGACTGGTAGTGTGAAACAGATAGGACATATACTAAGTAGCTGACCTAGTGAGGAGAGGCTGATAGGCTAGATGATGGAGTGGATAGATAATAGGCTGGTAGGTTGGGATCCGGGAGGGGAGATGGACATGGAATATACTAGTTACTAGTAGGAACAAACTTGACTGGTAGTACAGAACGACTGGCATTATTATCTACTTTTACCACTCGAATAGATGGGGAAAACCATGAGTGGTTGATAAGAGAGCTGACTTGAGCGTAGTATAGGTAAGTAGTTAGGGAGGTTGGAGGTAAGTAGACAGGTGAAGAAAAGACAAACAGAAATCACTCAACACCATCAATCGAACAATGATAATAATAGAACAGAAATTTACTTGAACGTGGGGAAAAGTAAGAACAGAAGTGATAAACCTTGCAAGCCCACTAGTGAGTTGTTGATTTCCCCTTTTTTCCCCATCCTAATATAGCGAGCGCCCTTGGTGATTCAAACTAGAGGTTTGGACGGATAGCGCGGGGATGGGAGGAATAGAGTAATGAAGAGAGGAAAAGTTAAAAAAAAAGAAAAAAAGAAACAACACTGGGTGAATAATATTAGAGGAAAAGTGAAAAAGTGAAAAAAAGAACCACTATCAGGAATAGATGATCGAAAGGATTTTTCTTCTTTTACGTTTCGAATTGCAGCGATATCAGGGTGTGGGTGGTGTCTGGTGTCTGGTGTCTGCTGGCAAGTCTGCTGTCCCGTAGTTCGTCATTGTCGTGAGATTAATATTGGATGGAACACGACCGCGGACATCGATCCATGCACATGCACATCCTGAGCGCTTTCAGTCGTCATCGTTACCAAACGCCATATTTTCGTGGGGTATTCGCCGTAAATTAAGCATCGGACTTGGTTTTCTTCTTCTGCTCCACCTTGAGCAGGAGCGCGCGGTTGATGCGCGGTAGCACACCGCCAAAGGCGATGGTCGCGCGAATCAACGTGTCCAGCTCTTCGTCTCCACGGATCGCGAGTTGCAGATGGCGCGGGGTGATACGCTTGACTTTCAAATCCTTCGCGGCGTTTCCGGCAAGCTCGAGCACTTCCGCAGTCAGATATTCGAGGACGGCAGTGACATAGACAGCGGCTGGTTGAATAGTCGTATTAGTGGTGTTTTCCAACAGGCTAGTTTGGGAGGGGCAGGCATGGAGCCTGCGAGCAATGAGGGTAGTGTACCTTTAGCACCAACGCGCATTTTATTCTGGGTGTTGTTCTTCAAGAAACGCTTGACACGACCGCAGGGGAACTGTAAATTCATAAACGTCAGCCTTAACATCCCGCTTATAGTGAATGTTGCAAGATAGGGTCTAAAACTTGGCAGCGAAGAAATTCCCAAACGGGATTACCCGGGCGGGCATCCGAGGAACCTGAAACGAGACACGAGTCACAGCCCAAGTTCGCACTGCGATACAGGAGTCGACGCGTCTCGAGAACATCACTAGCCAAGAGAGGGGAAACGGGAAAATAGGAAACCCCAAAGCTACCACATCACTGGTCGCCGTCACAAGGCAAACCCTCGCGCCATCAAACTGATGCAGAAGATGAAAACACTGACCTGCAAACCGGCCTTTGCGCTGTGGGACTTCTGGGACTTCCCCGCAGAGTCCTTGGAACCGCCCTTTCCACCAACAGACTTTCCTTTTCCGCCCGGCATTTTGAAAAGCGTCGAGGTTTAGGGTCGCAAGGATGGAAATGTCGCGTCAAAAGGGAACTGGAATCGATAGAGCGGGATGGTGGATGTTGAAGCGATCCGATTTCTGGAGACGCGCGCGTTGTTGATGGATGAAGGAGTCAGAAATGTCAGAGCCATCCTGGTCGCTAAAGACGGCATCGAGCGTGGAACAACGCTAGTCCCGATCGGGAAACATGCTCAAGACGGGCCCAGCTGCAGTGGGCGCAGTCTCCCCACGACGACCGTGGTTGACTGCCATGGCATTCGATGGGTGTGGTGTAGAGTCTGATCAAATGAATTTGAATAGATAAGATCAGCCTGTAGAGATTATCAATGCTGGATTAGGTACCCAGCACATGAGCATACCACCATGCGCTTGTCTGACAGGAGTGAGTAAAGTCTGAGAAGAGTCACAGAGCGATGCTCTGGTCTTCAGGCATACCATCTCGGTAAACCTGTAAACATTATCAGTGAATGGCACTTCTCAAGCAGAAAGTGCCATATAAACCTCTGATGCCATCATGATCTTGGAGCATGGTTGCCTTTGAACACATCAGGGCATCGTGAAGGTTGGCAAGGATCCAACCGTGCAAAGAGCATTGATGGCCGCTGCCCATTACCTAAGCCAACCAGGTGATCTGGATCTTGATGCCTCACAGCCTGGACATGCCTGCCTGAGGCCGCCAACCACGACCTTCTGGAATGTGCTGCGGACTGCTCACTAACTAGTTATCGTGTTATCAGTCTCGTGGCAACAACGGGTAAACACTAAACACCGCGCCACAGAAGGGTTTTCTGCACGTGACCTGCACCTATCTGGACAGCTGTCCGACTTCCCCAGTTCCGCACGCTGAGGAAGTTTCTGTCCCCGTACGCGCATCTTCAACCGCCTTTCATCCCCGCTTTCTCTTTGCGCGCTTTCAAACGGCTCTTTCGTCAAAATGGTGTCTCCTCAGGTGTAAGTGCTTTTCCCTGGTAGTAATGGCGTGGGCTATACAATCTCGAAGAAATCGGTTTTGGGCGCGTCCTTTTGCCGTATGGGTACCCTGTGCATTGCTAACGTGCAGTGCCTGTACAGAACGAACCTCGCCATCATCGTGGTGATGATGCAGCTGTCGAAGAAGATTGCCTTTGACGACCCCGATGTGCTCATGATGGTCCGTGGCGTGTACATCTTGTCCAACGTCATCATCTTGAGTCTGTACCTATACACGCAGTCCAAGATCACCGCCAAGAAGGGTATGTATCTATATTCGCGACTAGCTACAAGAAGATCCAATTCGCTAACCCAATCTGTAGACTTGACTACGCTCAAGTATGTCGAGCCCGCCCCCATGGGCAGCACCGAGGAGCCCAAGCCGGTGACCACCACCAACATGGAGTACGACCGAGGACAGCTGCGTACCCTGATGAAGGGTCAGCTGATGGGTGTCGGCATGATGTGTGTCATGCACATCTACTTCAAGTACACCAACCCTCTCCTGATCCAGTCGATCCTCCCCCTGAAGAGCGCCCTCGAGTCGAACCTCGTCAAGATCCACGTCTTTGGCAAGCCCGCCACCGGTGATCTGGCGCGTCCCTTCAAGGCTGGCAACAGCTTCATGGGCCAGGGTCAGGTCAAGAGCGACAAGGCCTCGATCGAGAACGCCGAGAAGAACTACCGGGGTGGTGTCAAGGAGGAGTAAATGCAGATGAAAGCGTTCATTTTTTCTTTCGTTTTCTTCCGGTGTAGGGGACATGCAGTGGCACTACAAGGGCTTGTCCCTCTGTACTTATAGAGTTGAATATCGGAAAGAGGGGGTTCAGGAATTTACGCAGGGAAAGGACGACGTCTGATCTATTTCAATCTTGTCTATATATTGATAATGGGCGAGGAGACCCGGTTCTCCTTTTTTTATTTCTTCCCCATTGCCGACCATGGCCCATGGCTTCCGTAATGGATGGACGTGTTGGCTTTGAGGTCGGGATTTGGAGTTGAAAATGACTTAAGCTATCAAAGAAATCTTACCTAATTTTAATATCCACGCCCATGTCATTAATGGACACCTATATCCTACCCCGGATGTCATTTTGGATCACTTGAGTAAAGTCAAGTTTCCGAGTGGCAATCACCACCAAACAGAGTTACGCAGGAAATTGGAATCGGTTACCAAGCAGCCATTCCTTCCAGGATGATGGTCCCACCAACAGACAGTGGTCGGAGAACTCACCCAGTGGGAGGATTGTGTCGATGCGCCCGAGTCAAAGATCGGTGTGTCCATCATACCACTTCTATGGATTGATTGATTGATTGATTGATCGATTGATTGCTTGATGTTGACGAGGCTGTCCAACTAGAACGGCCGGGACCTCGATGTTTGGTAGGGTGGTATTGTTGATTTATCCGATGGAGGGTGTTCTTCGCTGGCATTGTCTGGGTAGATTGGTTGTCTGATCTGATCCTCTCCAAGGTACTTTCTGTTACGCATTGCGGGGTTAGGCGGAAGTGATTGTCTATGAGTGGTTTCATAACTGTTTCCCAGACACATCTTGGATATCCTATCGCAAGTTGATCTCAGAAATACGTGCATAACTCCGTAACGGAAAGTGATGTATCAGCACAACCATAATTTAAATAGATATTCGAAGAAAGTAATCATTAATTTAAAAATCAAGACAAATAAAATAAATCCAGTCCAGATCAATTGATATTAGAAATCGATTGACAACGGTCTATCACCATGAAAATTGCACCGCAACGCGTGATCAATTCCCAGGCCACCGGTGACTCGGTGACTCTTTCAGGCTCACGGAGAGACATGATCTGGTCCTTCAGAACGCCCATTCGATCCAAGGAATGCGGACCATTATTGACCCGGATCGGTCTCACGGCCCGAAAGCGGAAAGGGTTTTGCTTTGCCCCTCAGTCCTTTAGAGGGGTTGAGACCGTGAGAGACGGTGTCACCGTCATCATGTTCTGGTCGAGTAGCAGATATGGCTCAACCCCTAATAGGATGGTCCTAATTACATCATAATTCATCACCTATCAATCCCACCCTTTCCCTAATAAAGAATCCCCTCATTCGATACGGGTAAAGAAGGTAATAGTTAACTGTCAAAGGCCCGAGAATTGCCTTAGATCCGTAGCTCTCCGTAGCTAACCCCTGGGAAGTTCCGAGAATCTGGCAAAAGATTCACGAGGTGGATCGGAGCGAGGACCGCGTCGAGCCCACTGATTGGCCACCTACGGAGCTGCCGAGGGGAGGGAGGGTTCACAGATATCGTGAGTCTCCTGCTTTGCCCGGTGTATGAAACCGGAAAAGGTTGCTGGGGAGCTGGGGAGCGGCGCAAGCCGGGAACCTAAGCTGGCCATGACCCGTTTACTGAGCTGCTGGTGGCTTTTGGCCCCGTCGGTCCGCCCGGTGTGCGCTTTTGATTTGACCGAGACGCTTGAGGTTGGGTCCCCTAGTGTACGATGGAATCTGGTCGTTGCGTCAGTTGTCCCGCGTTTCCCATCCTTTTTCTACTTGACCCCTCCCCCACCATCCTACTTCTCTTCTTCTTCTCTCTCTCTCTCTCTTCTCTTCTCTTTCATCCATTCATCACTTCCCTTCACTCTTCATCTTCTACCATCTCCCCCTTTTTCAAATTTCATCTGTAAGTACTTCTCTCTCACAACGAACAGAGACAATACACTCCCCATCTCTACTGTTACCCCTCCAAGCTAACAGCTACCCCGCCTCAGATCACCACAATGGTTCCCCAGGTTGGTATCAACGGCTTCGGTCGTATCGGTCGTATCGTGAGTTCTCCCTTGGTCTCTGCAGCAGTGAATTGGTCCCAGGTAACTAACAATTCATCCAGGTCTTCCGTAACGCGTGAGTGGCTCCTGGTCTGAGAAATGAACTTGATCACCCCATGGAAAACATGGATCAAGACATCGGTTTGGATCACTATGCTGACCAAGCTTGATTTTATAGCATCGCTGCTGGCAACGTTGACGTCGTCGCTGTCAACGACCCCTTCATTGAGACCCACTATGCTGTATGCACTGCCCATCTGAGCTCTACCCAGAGGACAGTTGACTAACCACGATATTCAACAGGCCTACATGCTCAAGTATGACAGCACCCACGGACAGTTCAAGGGCTCCATTGAGCTGTTCGACGGTGGTCTGATCGTCAACGGCAAGAAGATCCGCTTCTACTCCGAGCGTGACCCCGCCAACATCCCCTGGGCCGAGACCGGTGCTGCCTACGTCGTCGAGTCCACCGGTGTCTTCACCACCACCGAGAAGGCCTCTGCTCACTTGAAGGGTGGTGCCAAGAAGGTCATCATCTCCGCTCCCTCCGCGGACGCCCCCATGTACGTCATGGGTGTCAACAACAACACCTACACCAAGGATGTCAACGTCCTCTCCAACGCCTCTTGCACCACCAACTGCCTGGCCCCCATGGCCAAGGTGGTCAACGACAACTTCGGCCTGGTTGAGGGTCTCATGACCACCATCCACTCCTACACCGCCACCCAGAAGACCGTCGATGGTCCCTCCGCTAAGGACTGGCGTGGTGGCCGCACTGCGGCCCAGAACATCATCCCCAGCTCCACCGGTGCCGCCAAGGCTGTCGGCAAGGTCATCCCTTCGCTCAACGGCAAGCTGACCGGCATGGCCATGCGTGTGCCCACCGCCAACGTCTCCGTCGTTGACCTGACCTGCCGCACCGAGAAGCCCGTCACCTACGACCAGATCAAGAAGACCATGAAGGCTGCCTCCGAGGGCGAGCTCAAGGGTATGATCACTAGAACTCCTTATGGTCAATTAACTGTTTGCTAACCTGCTGTCTAGGCATCCTCGGCTACACCGAGGACGACATCGTCTCCTCCGATCTCAACGGCGATGATAACTCCTCCATCTTCGATGCCAAGGCCGGTATCGCCCTGAACGAGCACTTCATCAAGCTCGTCTCCTGGTACGACAACGAGTGGGGATACTCCCACCGTGTTGTTGACCTCATCGCCTACATTGCCGGTGTGGATTCGCAATAGGAATCAGGTCGGAGCGTGGGGGCCAAGAGTCTCCTTTAAATGACCCAAAACAACGCTTCGTGGCTGTGGGACCTGTCGCCTTCTGGACACGGGCTTGATGGATCGCGTCCACTAGCATAAAAGCACATGATAACGTACTACTTTAATGAAATGATACATTAACGTCCAAATACATCAACGTCCAATGCAATGTTTCCTTGTAAATTGGTAGATAACGCGCTGTCAATCGTCTCTAGTGGTTAGTGGTAGTAACCAGGGACATCCGTACAGATAATAGGTAGATGATTAGTGTCGGCCAATGCCGGTGCTGGTCGGCGAATTCTCGGTCGAGACCACCGATCAACTAACGCTCTTTCACGTACATCTCGCAGTTACTCCTTTCAAGTTTGGACTCTACTGCCTGGATTTAATGAAGCTCTTCTGATCACACACCCACAATAGAATCAAGGCGCATGTCCTTTCTTCCTTTGAGACCCTTGATTGACAACCGTGGGCCTATCAGACGCAGGCTTGCTGGAGGTCACGTGTCGGGGAGCTAGGTCAACCGTCTTTTGGGAGCTACATGCTGGACCCAGACCAAACCAGAACGACTTTACAGTAGTGTCTTGTCGCGATTGCCAACGCCAACCGGTACCCATAAGAGGCTGGCATAACGGGTCCACCAACCGGATCTCTTTCTTTCAGATTGCTCAAATTGATTTGGTTTGTCCCGCGTTGGTCGCTATCCATTATCCATCTCCCGCATCGGACGGACCCTACTAGTAGTAGTCGCTCTACTACGACCTAAGCCTCACTGCATTGTTGCAATTCACCTCCGCATAAAGAAACACAGCCGACTATTTGTTTCGCTCTTTCCTTTGGGGTGCTTAAACTCAACCGCACGATTTACTTTGAATTGTGCGCCTCGGCTTTACGTACCAAGCGCTTGTGTGGTAGAAGATTCTTGCGAGCATCATCCTCGTCTGTCTAGCGTACCACCCTGTCCATGAAATGCCAGTGGCTTAAATTTGCCATCTGAGAAGAGCCAAGTCAGAAGTTCCCTAGGGTTCTTCTTGGGAATCATGGAACAGGACGAAGACACCGTCATGGGAGACGCTGGCTCCCACCACCATCACCCGACCACTACTTCGCACCATCTGACGGATGGCGTCAGCGACCAGCACCAAATGCCCGCCCATCTCCTGGGGAGATCGGATCCGTGGCTAGCACCGCCCTTGCTGGGCTCGTCCATCAACTTACCCATCCAGTCGGGCGACGGAGCAGGCGACGCCGGCGTTTCGCCCCCCAAGAGTCTGCCCAAGTCGACCGACTCTGGTGATGCGACCGCTGAGGATCTCGACAAGCCAGACAGCCTGGTGGAAGAGAACTCGAACTGGTCTGATGACGATGTTGCCACCCGGACAGGCCTGCCAATTGCCTCGCTCGCGTCCGGGCTGTGCTACGATGTTCAAATGCGCTATCACTGCGAGGTACGACCAAGCACAGATGTCCATCCGGAAGACCCGCGACGTATCTACTACATCTACAAAGAACTGTGTCGAGCGGGCCTTGTGGACGACTCCGAGTCGTCTCGGCCACTGGTCTCTCGACCCTTGCAGCGAATCAGTGCCCGCAATGCTACCGAAGATGAGGTCTCACTGGTACACACGCCGGACCATTATGCCTTTGTGGAGAGCACGAAAGGTACGCCCCGCAGGTTTTATGAACATGTCTTCATTGTTGATTAACTGACGCTGTGCAGATATGTCTGACGAGGAGCTGATCCAGCTGGAACACCAACGCGACTCGATCTATTTCAATAAACTCACGTTTGCATCGTCCTTGCTTTCGGTCGGCGGAGCCATTGAGACTTGCCTTGCTGTCGCCACCCGAAAAGTGAAGAATGCAATCGCCGTCATTCGACCGCCTGGACATCATGCTGAGCATGACAAAACCATGGGGTTCTGCTTATTCAACAACGTCTCCGTGGCCGCACGTGTTTGCCAGAGGGAGCTCGGAGACAGCTGTCGAAAGATTATGATTCTGGATTGGTGAGTCAGTCCCAATCCTTGATATTGCGAGGAATATTAACATGAACAGGGATGTCCATCACGGTAAATCTTGGCGTCGTCTCAGCAGACGGTAATGTTGCTCACGCTTTGTAGGAAATGGTATCCAAAAAGCATTCTACGACGACCCCAATATCCTCTACATCTCGTTGCATGTGTATCGGGATGGCAACTTTTACCCGGGCGGTGACGAAGGTGATTGGGATCATTGTGGTGAAGGCGCAGGCCTTGGCCGGTATGTGATACGCTGATCATTGGATATCAGACGCTGACATGGTGTAGGAATGTCAATATTCCTTGGAAGAACCAAGGGATGGGCGATGGCGATTACCTCTTTGCATTCCAGCAGGTCGTCATGCCAATTGCCCAGGAGTTCAATCCGGACCTGGTGATAAGTATGCTATTGACAGGTTTAGTAAAGATGAGTTTTAGACTGACACATCCTAGTTGCCTCTGGATTCGACGCCGCCGTGGGCGACGAGCTCGGAGGATGCTTCGTGACCCCGGCTTGTTATGCCGCGATGACACACATGTTGATGACGCTGGCGGAAGGAAAGGTTTCCGTGTGCTTAGAGGTTAGATCGTCCGTGGTTCTATAATTCTGCAAGGACTGACAGTATACAGGGCGGTTACAACTTCCGGTCAATTTCCAAATCGGCGCTTGCAGTCACCAAGACCCTCATGGGGGATCCGCCAGATAGACTGCATTCCAACACGGCTTCGGATGAGGCGATCTCCGTTGTACGGCAGGTCATGATGATCCAGTCTCGTTTCTGGCGGTGCATGTATCCGAAGCGACCAGAGACGGATGGATTGTGGACGGATAGGCTTCATGGTTTGTCTCTCCTCTAGGTCCCACAGAGCAGTATTAACAGCCGCAGATGTCATCCGCGCGTACCAGTCGAAGCAACTCTACGACAACTACAAGCTTACATCACTTTTTATCTACCGGACGGCTATTTCCAAGTCATTCGAGAACCAAGTTTTGGCGAGGTAAGACAGGAGATCGCAGTCTACGACCATGTACTAAGCCCAACAGCGCGAACTACTACCAAGCCACACCTCTCCTGGTGATCTTCCACGACCCGTGAGTATCCCGACCGAATCACAGAATTGTATCTGACGAATGCAGACCGGAAATCATGGGCTTGCCCCATCCAGTCACCAACAAGCTGGAAGCTCACAACTGCTGGATGGTCAGTAATCACCTACCTAGCTTACTGCATGCGCTAACCGAATAAGGCTGATGTCATGAAGGACTATATCGCATGGGCGATTGGCAAAGGCTACGCCGTGATAGATGTAAATATTCCGAAACATGCGACAATGGAGCCGGTGCGTTTTGTTCTCTTCATATTATGTGATATTACTGACATCCAAAGTCACCGGGGAAATATGAGGACGAAAGCGAGAATAGACCTACTGCTACTGAGGAGCTGGCTGGATATCTGTGGGACAATTACATCGAGTGAGTGGATACGACGAATGGAAGGCCATCGGTCCACGAACTAATGAAGGACAGACCGAACGACGCGACAGAAATATTCCTTCTCGGCATCGGAAATGCATTCTACGGAGTTGCAAACCTTCTAATCAATAGAGGTAACACCACGCCACCAAGTAACACGTGCGCCAGCGACTAACCTTCCGTCCAAGACACACTATACCAACGAGTCAACGGCGTCGTCTCATTCGTCGCCGAAAACCCCGTCCGCGCAGTAGCCTCGCACACGCAGACCTGGCTCTCCCGATGGTACAGAGACGTAAGTCAAATCCCGACCCCGTCCCCACCCGGCGCTCCTTCTTTGCCGCAGCGCGCTAATCCAAGGCAGAATTCCCTCGTATTCGTCTCCCACACGCACGGCGTCTGGAACAACACCGGCCAGCGCAAGCCCTCCAAGCGCTACGGCCAACTGATCCAGTCGCCGAAAGCGGGCCTCAGCGAGATGCTGATGCACCACAAGGGGGATGTCTTCCGGTGGGTCGAGGAGCGGGCGGATGTGCACGATAGCGAGGAGGTTGAAGAAGACAGGCGGACAAGCCGGTCGCCGAGTAAGAAGAACACCCAGCCCACACCTGGGATGAATTGAATCGGGGGTTTTACGCTAGGGGCGATGTATCCACTTGCTCTTGCACATACATACATATCATACCATACCACTTGCTAGGGCACTATGGCACTACGACTACTACAACAATACTACATGACGCATTGTAGTTACCTACCTAGTTCCCTATCCGTTCGTCCACCACCTCGGCCGACCCGGACATGAAATGATAAAAAACCTATAGATAGTAACGGAAATAAAACCCAGAGTTACATTATCCATCTTCGTAAATGACCCAACAAACCCATAGAAAACAACCCCCCAAACCACGGCTCCCCAACTCCCCCAAAGTCAAAGATACCCACACCACACGCTCACCCATTAGCTATCTATTCTCCGTGCAGAATTGCCGCAACTGTCCAAAAACGACGCTGACTAACTCCCGCGCCCCCCCACATTCCGATGTCACGGTGGTTGATGGCGCCGAAGCGGACTTTGTTTTCCGAGAAAAAGCATTGTATGTAACCGGAGGAAATACGAGGGGCATTCTTGGTTGGGGATGTCATCTGATTAGGTTTGGTGGTTGGATACTGGTATCCGCGGGGGGCCTTGACTTGGTTAGGGAGGTAGTATGGAACAACACCAACCAGATGCCTTCGTGAGCAAGCAGATGCTGCATTAGTAGTAGAGGTAGCTGTGGTTGGGTTTGGCTGTGGCGTTTGGGTTTGGGGTTGGGTTTGAGGGGTATCTATCAGATTTGATCTATAATAAAAGTACTCTATAATTAATAGTAGCCACCGCTGTAGCCCGCCACCCCAGGTACCCTATAGAAAGGAAGCAAATGCTACCTGTCTCAGATGGAGTGTGGTTCTCTGCGGGGATGGAATGCGTGGTTGGTTGGAATAGTGTACCAGTTTTCTGATGTTACTATTTTCCAATGTTGACTTGCTCTGAGATGGGCGTGCTATGATGTAGATGAGGATGAAAACGAGAACGAAAACGGTCTTCCATCTTGCTTTATATTGGGAGGGAAAAAGGTATAAAAAGGTGAGTGTATCCTGCGTCTATTCCAACAAGAAAAGAAATCAAGTCAAGAATCAAGCAAGCACTTCTCAAAAAAAGACCATTTCTCCTCCTCAAATCAACCACCAAACACCAAACCTCCCACCAACATGAAATTCTCCACCCTGGCAACAACCCTCGGCCTCACAGCCCAAGCCACCGCCCTCGGCCGCGCCGTCGTGCACAACAACTGCCCCGACCCCGTCTACCTCTGGTCCGTCGGCGGCGCCGTCGGGCCCCGCCAGACGCTCCTCGCGAACGAGATCTACAGCGAGGATGTGCACCACGACGACGCGTCCGGCGGCGTCGCGCTGAAGATCACGCGCAGCCCGGACGGCCTGTGGGACGGGTCCGCGCAGACGAACTTCGCGTACTCGCTGACGGGCGACCGCGTGTGGTATGATCTGTCGAATGTGTTTGGGGCGCCGTTCGAGGGGGATGCGTTGACTGTGATGAGTGATGATCCGAGCTGTGAGAGCATCTGTTGGGCGGATGGGGTGAATCCGGGTGGGAACCATGTTAAGGATTGTTCGGCGGAGGCGACTGAGGTTTTGACGCTTTGTGCGGGGTATTGTTCTGCTACGTAGGTAGGGAGAATGGGGTTTGTGTCTGTCTGTTGATGCATAGGTACTTACTTGCTTGCTTGCCTGCCTGCCTGCCCGCTTGCTTGCCTACTTACCGCTGAACTTGGTGGTGTCATGTATCAGTGGCTGTATTGTTGAAGTAGCTAATGAAGTTGAAAATCAATAAATTGGTATATTTGCTTTGGACTTATACTCTGTTAGACATAGCCATAACTGTCATTTGAATAAAATTAAACGGTATCGAATGAGATGTCTCGCTGATAAATACACACGTGAACATCGTTCAAGTTCAGTGTATGATGCAAGCCTCGTATACAGTATATACACTCCGGCGGGATAATGTCAAGGCTGTTCTCGATTATACACTCCTTACCAGTCTCGAGTATATACCAGCCCAACGGTCCGTCATCTCTCTTATATGCAAACTACCCACATAGTAGCCAACTTCATAATCCAAACTATAGAGCTTGTCTCCCCCGCGTCTCAATCGGCAACAAGCACATCGCCACAAAAGCAGCCAACATAAGCGCCCCGGCCGCATAAATCGGACTCGCGGGGTCGGCATCAGTCGTGTAAATAGCAATAATAGGCGCCATCAACCCCGCAATGCGGTTCAAACAGCTAGCGATACCGGTGCCGGTGCCACGGTTGGGCGCGGGGAACACCTCCGGCGTGTAGGCGTACAGCACGCCGTACATGATCATCTGGAAGAAGGATTCGAGCGCGGAGCAGACGAGCTGCACGTTGGGGTCTTTGGAGGCTGTGAAGCAGAAGAGGAGCACGCCGGTGATGAGGGTTGACGCAGCCATTGTGCCTTTGCGTCCGATGTATTTGATGTCGACGGTGTACCAGGCGAGGAGCGGGCCGGGCAGGCCGCAGACGGCTGTGATGGCGTAGTTGCGGTAGGTGATGTAGGTGGAGGAGTTGGCGCCGATGTATTGCGGGAGGAAGGCGTTGAAGAGCGTGTAGCCCATGCCGATTGTGGTCCAGCAGAACCAGATTAGAATCGCTGTATCGTGTTAGTGGATTGGGATGTTTTTAGGGAAGATTATGAAGGTATCATACTGGTAAACCCGAGACGCTTGTTGCCGAACAAGGGGACGATCTGCTGGTAGGAGAACCGCTCCAGCGATCGTCTAAGAATCTCCGTATAGGACAAAGTTTGGTCCTTGATTTTCTCCTCGGAGTGTCCCCCGATTTCATTTAGGATCTCCTCCGTCAGCCACGTCTTGGTCCTGTTTTTCTTGGCGATGCCTTGAACGGCACCCACGGCCTCATCCTGACGTCCTCGGGAGACGAGGTACTTGGGCGACTCGTACAGCGTAAAGAGGAGGAACCGACAGAGGAACATGGCAAATGTGATGGCACCCAGCGACAAAACCAGGTATCTCCAACCCCAGTTGTTCGCCTTGGTGCAGGTCGAGGCTTCGTCGCAGGAGAAGTTGGGGATGAATGCCCACGCCAGCAGACTGGCAATCAGATTCCCGACGGACCAGAATACGGCCAGGGAGCTCAGAAGATTGCCTGAGGTGAAAGGCAGAAACTCCAGGAAGACGGCAGCGTCGACAGGCAGGTTTCCGCCTACTCCTACCCCTAAGCATGCGTACAGCGCGCAGGCCCTGAAATCAATCTCGTTAATTTGAGGGGGGCAAAACTGAAGAAAGAAAACTAGACATACCCAACCCAACTCGATGCACCACCAGCGGCGAGTCCAAATGCTCCACAGAGAAATAGCGTCATGTTGAACGCAGGCCGACGTCCAATTGCATCCGAGGCAAGACCCCAGAAAGAAGCACCAACAATCAGACCCACGAACAGGGCACACGTTGCGAAACGAGAATTAGACTCGGAGATACCGAATTCGTTGGCCAGGGGAGTCAGCGTGAGAGCAACTCCCTGAGCAGGGTTAGTAGAGTTCATTTTCGATGCAGATCACGAAGGAGTCGTACCTGCAGCCAGAGACTAGAGGGCGTTAGATAATTGTCTATAACTTATGGGAAGGGAACGCTTACTTATCGGCAACCCATCCAAAACCACACAGAACATACAGTTCATACTGGTAACGGCCCATGCCAATATCCTGGATGGCCCTGTTGATCACCTTCGATTTCCCTGCACGAGACATTAGAACCCGAAACTCGGTTCCACCAGGGTAGGGGTCATGAGTTATCCGCACGCCAGCCCGCTGGCAGGGCAAGGCCGATCTGCTTGGAATCAGATTAGACAGAGGACGTACGGTCATAGGCAGTATCATGAGAGGAAGAGGAAACGTCCGCTTCGACTTCCGCACGAAGCGTTTCGAGGGTTAGCTCGCTGTACGGCGGCGGCGGCGACGAAGCGGCGCCCTTCTCTTGACATGATGCCCTGTCATTGGTGTGGTTAGAGTCGGCTTCCGAGTCGGGCTTCTTTTCCGCATAGGGGGCCGTGGTCGGTTTCTCAGGCGCAGGGGCATTGGCGAGAGGGACGACTACCTCAGGGAACTGTTGCCGGTCCCGGTTGGTGAGCAGATCTCTCCAGTTCCAGGAACCCATGGTGGTGTCCGGTTGATTTATCGCACTGGGTGGGGGTTGGACTCCGAGATGGCGCGAGGCAGAATGACCGTGTGGTTTGCGCGGTCGGTCGCGGATCCGACCGGTCAAAAAGTATACGACACTTGCGCCAGGGCTAGCCTACCGTATTTCGCCCGGTGGTTTACTGAGAGAAATCCGCACGGGTGGTTGGAATGGAGCTGCGCGGGAACTGGTCGGAAACTGATCGGTGCACTGGCTGTTGGATTCGGCGCTGTCTGAAAGTCGCGGGGTATGGAGAACGGGGCGCTTGGGGATGGCGCAACGGGTGAGAAAGAAGATCTTAGATGCTGCTACTTCCGTTTGGAATCTTCGCGATTTGGTAACTTGTTGTGAGTGGATCCAGTTCTTGAACTTTGACAGATAGTAGTAAGTACTATATAACAGGGAGCAACTGTCAGTAAGTAGTGATGTCGGGGAACGACACCACTGATCCAATCGGGACGACGTGGAGAAGTGGGGAGACGATGCACGAGTCGTGCCGGCCTGTTGACGAGATCAGAAAGGGGATGGAAGAAAGGCAGTGGGACGGTTGATGTCGTCTTCGCCTCCGCAAAAGGACGTCGATGGAAGGTGACGACAAGAGTAGGGAAGAGATGACGTGCCGTGGGAGAGAGCGAGGTAGAGAAGTCAGGGAGGAAGGACCTTTTTAGAGGGAACTCAATGTGATGCTGACCATGAAGGTTATTAGATAATTAGAGTCCCAAGATGGGTCAGTGAACCATGTTGTCCAACCACGTTGACCATGGATCTGATTCGATCGACTGCATTTGGCAAGTCGAGTTCTCCACTATTGACCATCTTCATCTTATTCAATATGTCAATGAACCTGATATCATATGACAGTCTGGTATGAGGTTGAGGATTGGACTGCTGCATACAGCATGCTAACGCGACTTCTGATGAACTGAACAGCTTTCGACAGAGTCCTATCTTCAGGTGGAAGTTGAAGCCATGAGAATGTGGTGACCAGTACTTACAGAGATGGAGCCATACAGATGGGTCCAAGTGGGTCTTCATCCACGAGAGGAAAAAAGAAGAAAGTAAAAAAGAGGATGAATTAGAATCAATAAAACCACATCATTAGTAATCCAACAGTCTCTATGTTGGTATTTATGTGCACAATCATAGCAACGCTGGCTTCGACATACTCGGTATGCAGAAGGTGATACTTCTTGAATATCCATGGACTGTAAACCTGAAAAGTCCTCATGAGACTATAACAGTCAGTCGGTTTGAGCCGAATCCGATCTGACTCCACTCTGCCCGAGTTGGATAACAAACAAGGCAAGAGTCTTGGCCGCGAAAAATTTTACGCTCCTTCAATCTCCATCCACAACATATCTGGTTCCCTTGGTGGCCCAACAGTTCAACACAACCGGTTGGATTGATTAATGCACTTAGCCGGATCCCTAGCCCTCTATATCTGACAGGACTATTACGGTTGTACTATCATTACTAGATTTGTTAATATCCCACGTGTGTTTTGTCCGCAAGACAGATCAGCATTCCACGTGTGAAGTCGCCATCCCTTGCATACTTACTCCAATTGCAAGACGTTTCTCTATATCATTAGGGTCTTGAACTGGAAGTAATCACACCAACCCCCACGAGGCATTGACACATCAATCAAAAAGACCCATGACTGCCAAGCAAGGGGAGGGATATACTTGATAATGCCAAGCGCTCCTAATAATCCCTCAGTCTGCCGGTGCCATATGGGCCTATGGGGACTTGGAATGGACTAGTGGGGTAGGGGCGTCGACTAGCCGATTCTGGCCGGCTATTGCTTGATCCAACTGCCTGGACACTCGGATGTTCACCGCGAGATATGATTCGTGGGTTGGTCGGGCTTGGAGGTTGGTGTTGAACCGTTGTGGTGCGTCTTTCCCAATGGGTGCTAGTTTCTGTAGGTCTTGGGTCGGGTTGCGATCGTTCCAGGTACTCGTCCGCTCAGGAAGCTGAAGGCTGAGTTGGAATAGACAGGCATGTGTTTGGGTAAGGACTTTAAATTGGGGTCCGATGACCGTGTATCATGACTAGGATACATTGTCTCTTGACAAGTTCCATATGGACTAGAAACAAGGCATGCGGCCTGCGCAAGTCATATATACCGTGTATACACTTTCCAGCCTCGTATCATACATAACGCTCTAAAGGACTTACTTCAATCACTTCTTGAGAAGAGAAGCTACAATATCGGTACCGCTCATCTCCATCCCCGCCCATACTGTTCTCTCGCTGGACTTCACCCCACATGACTGGCTTCTCAGCAGCATCGGTGTCGCTCTCAGGCGGATGGCAAGCCGCGCTAATCGCAGCACTACAATTCAGCGCCAGCGGCATAGGCGGGTAGTCGAACCTGATGATATGCATCGCGAGGTACATGTGCATCCAACAGTAGACGAGGATGCCCATGTACAAGCCCGATGCGACGATCGACACCGCAATGGCGGGCATAAGTCTATCCTCGTCGAAGTGACCATGTACGCTGTACGGCATGACCTCTACGTACGAAAATGCCTCGGACATAAGCAGATGCAGGACGGAAAAGATCACGAACGTGGGGACGCTCCATCTATACGGGATCGTGAGGTAGTACGTCGAACGCTGCTGGCCTTGGGGAAATGAGACACGCAGCGGTTTCCGTTTTATGGCGTAGCTGGTGTACTCGGCTGCGAGAAGCATTCTTGTGAGCACGTTGTTGACGAGGTAGTATATCATTGAGACGACGACCTGGGGGGAATTGACGACTAGCACGAAGCAGGCGAAGTTTTCCTCTGAAAGACGCGTGTCTAGGGCTGGCGGAAAGATCTCCGAGAAGACGCTGGTCGCGACCGACTTGCCTGATTCGTTGGGCATGTTGCTGGTCAAGGGGATGAAGCTTATTCCGATTGAGGCTGTGGCTACAGTGATTAGGAGCCAGAGTAGTAAGCGTGGGACGGCATCTTTCCATATATACCACTTTATGCAGGGGTAGGTTGGGCGTGCCGGCGGTGAAGTTGTTGCATCTCGGTGTTGGGTATGCCGTAGAGAGTCTATAGGGAAGTTGGCTCGCCAGGACAGGTGTACCTCGTTATTCATGGCTTGCCGACGTGGTACGTGTGGATGGGCGAGAAGAGAAGTATCGGCTGTTATAGGATCGGGTCTTTGCAGAAAAGAGGCAATGGCGTCGCCTGTCGTCAGAAGGATCTCCTCGCGATGGTCACAGATAATAAGAAGTATGCCAATCAATTTTGCTGCAACGCACCCAGTCACAATTAATCCAATGGGAAGATTGTATACCATTCGACATTGCGCTTCGCTTGTTTTGCTCCAGCAATGTTGGACAACATAACCATTTATCGAATCAACAGAGAAGTCACACAAGCTGTTAGATCCTGAGAGCTCGGATGAAGCCGTTGTATACTCCATTTCCCCATGCAGTCGGAGAAAGGAGTCGGTAACACACCTCCAAATGGTACTTTTGTTGGCCGGTATGCTGTCACTTGCAAGGAGCAACGTGAGGCGTGTTTTCATCAACTGGGTAGGATGGACCTTTGATTCGCACAATCCTGGTACGTCTATCGTGTCGCCATAGTAATTCGTCTCATCTTGCAGCTCTTCAAAGTCCCCGTTTTTGAAATTTTCTTTAAACTCATTTGTACTGACTCCGATCGTCTCCTCGAATTGCGACTCAGGGGCGAACTCTGTGGTAAAAGGGGTGGAATTAGAAGATATCACCACGGCCCCGAAGTCGTTGGGCCCAACCACGGTATGCACGAAGGAATTGTATCTAGATCACCCAGTTTTAGACACCTGCACCATCCAAAAAAAACATATATCATTACTCACACCAGCTGGACCGCAATCGAGGTGGCACACAACACCAACCACAACAATTTGCGCCATGGAGCAGCAAGCCAGATATTAGTGATGCTCTGGGACCCAATGGCCACCCATGTCCGTCTACTATGAGCCCGATCAACTTCCTCTCTGGACGGGGCCGTGACAATCTGGCAGCAGTAATTGCTCGTAGCAGTCAAGGCGACGCCAACGGCATTTACTAGGAGGCCGAGTCCGATCGATGTCCCATTTACCGTGTCACAATCCCCTTCGTAGAATATGTTTTTGGATTTTTTGGAGCGTGCCAGGAGCGCGAAAGTCACCGTCATGCTGAGGTTGATCGCGAGGATTACAATCATGACATAGATACACAGTCGTACGCCTTGCGTCCATTGTTTTTCTTTTCTCGGTGCTGTCGTTTTGTTTGACGATTTGTTGGATGGTCCTTTCTCTTCGTCGTCTCCCGGGCTGGGCTATCAGCATGATTTGTCAACAATATTGAAATGCTTGCTTACCTATCGTGTGAGGGACTCTGAAGCTGTACACCTTGACTACTTTCAGGACTGGTAGGGCTGTTATCTTGACTTCTGGATGTGACTGCGGATACCAGAGTAGTGGTAGTGCTTATTGCCTCAGAAGACATGATGTCTACTCGACCCGGGTAATTAATTCATGGAGATCCATGACAGATGAAAATACCATAGGGTATATTGCAGCATGTTATATAGCTTCGGACAACCTGCCTAGGGTACTAATTTCTGACCCCCATTAGCAGATTATACAGCCTTGTGTATCGCTTTCAACTGGATCTTCCAAAGGAGCCAGCAGCCTTGTCGTGTGCACAGCCTTACAGCGACCCACCCCCTCGCATACTGGCCACCAATACGGAATACAGCGAGGTCGATCAAGAAACATCGTACCAACGAGGTTTCTGACTTGGGAAGCATTGAAAGTGATGCACTGTAGTTACAGGGGGGTAGTTCCTTTTGTCGCCTTGTTATACAAGAAAAGGGGGGATCCGCAGTAAGTCACAGGGTGGAATGTTGTCGGGGGCACATGGTTCTACTATAAATAGTGATTTATATCCATTCTGGGGTAGGTTCATGTGGGGAAAGTGGTGGTCTAGACTGATGTCTGGCATAGGATGTACCAACTTAGTCGACGGGCATGAAGAAGTAATAGAGTGATTCTTGATTGTAGTAGTCAAAATAGCCTCGAACACCTGAAACAAACATGAAATAAGCACATTCCACGCTGCGATTGCAAACACACCAACAACATCACTGCAACCACCCATGACGTCACAACCATGCCAGCACGGACTGCTGCCACCATTCCTCCACCCCATCAACCCACCACCTTATCAATTGACATCTCTAGTTATCCAAGCACGCAGAAGTACACCGAACCTCAAGCATAAACAAACTAATGGCCCGACCAACCATGGGCAAACTATCCTTCGAGGCTTACCCCCTCCGACCCGTCCCCGGCGCCCCGGCCCCGCCTGTTGCGGCCCACCTTCCCGTCTTCATCTACGGCACAGCCTGGAAAAAAGAGCACACGGCCGATCTCGTCCATCAGGCTATCAGCAGTGGGTTTCGCGCCATAGACACGGCGGCCCAGCCTAAGCATTACCGTGAAGACCTGGTGGGCGAGGGTGTGCGTAGGGCGATTCGGGAGGGGATTGTGCGGAGAGAGGATCTTCATGTGTGTATAATCCTCCTTACTTGTACATGTAGCCATACATATATTCTCTACATAACATATAGTCCCTTCGCTTTGAAACACCAAGAGACAAGACAAAATCAAGCATAAGAGATATAACTGACTAACTAACTCCCAGATCCAAACCAAATTCACCTCCGTCAACGGCCAATCCCCCAACAACATGCCCTACGACCCCTCAACAAGCATCACCCAGCAAGTGCACGCCTCAATCGCCTCCTCCCTACACAATCTCCGCACCAACGACAGCACCCCCAAACCGCAAGGCAGCGACAAAGGAACTTCAGAAGACAGCTATATCGACGTCCTCCTGCTCCACTCCCCCCTCCCAACAATGTCCCAAACACTCGAAGCCTGGACAGCAGCCGAAACATACGTACCGCACCGCATTCGCAACCTCGGCATCTCAAACACAACACTTCCCATCCTGCGGGAGCTCTCGTCGCTAGTCCGTGTTCCGCCCGCCGTCGTGCAGAACCGGTTCTACGTTGCGACGCAGTTTGACGTCCCGCTGCGTGAGTTCTGCCGCGAGCAGCGTGCGGGAATCGTCTATCAGAGCTTTTGGACGCTGACGGCTAATCCGGAGTTGCTGCGGTCTAGGCCGGTTGGGGAGTTGGCGGAGTGGGCGGGTGTGAGTAGGGAGCAGGCGCTGTATTGTTTGGTGCTGGGGTTGGGCCGCACGACTGTGCTGAACGGGACGACGGATCGGGGCAGGATGTGGGGGGATTTGGCGGCTTTGGGGGCTGTGGAGAGGGTGGCCGGGGAGAAGCCCAAGGTCTGGGAAGAGGTGTTGGAGGAGTTTAGGGGGTTGGTTGGGGACAGTGTTGCTTTGTAGGTCTCTAGTATCTTTGGTCTGTCGAATTGGCTGTAGTTGAGGGAAGCCAGTCACTATGTTGGCATACATATGGCATGGTAAATAAAACATGTACCTCTCACGCTTTCGTTGAATACTTTACTTGAGTATCAGAGGCAAATCAGACTCGTCTGTTCTACCATGAGCTATCCCGCAAATTCCGCAATGCGTGCAATCCACCCCTAGCTACGAACCATCTACACGGTCCCCATTCTCTCCTTCAAATAAACCATCAACTCCTTCTTCTCCCACAGGAAAAACGTCTTTTGTTTATTCCAGCCCACAGATTCAGGAGCAAGGCTGAGGTCAAAGTGGTACAAGACTTTGGCAAGGATGACACGCAATTCGCTGTATGCCAGACTAAACAAGTATCAGTTACGTTTGAGCCCTAGAAGAGGAATAATTTGTAAATTATAAGGATAGAAAGAACCTACTTCTTTCCTAGGCAGTTTCTTGGCCCAAACGAGAATGGTTGGAGAGCCGCCTTGTTATCGCTAGCGTATTCGTCGCTGATCCATCGCTCGGGGATGAACTCGTTTGGGTGTTTGAAGTTGTTGGGGTCGTGGTAGGTTGCCCATTGGTTGACCGAAAGCGCAGTCTGTACGTTGCTTGTTAGAACAAGATAGTGAAAAACAAAACAAAAGAAAAAGAAAGCATAGATGGAGTGCCTTTGACGTACCCCAGCCGGGACATGCTCTCCACAAACCAAGAGTCCCTCGTTAGGAGCAACTCTCGGTATCCCATTAGGAACAGGAGGATACATGCGCAGACCCTCCTCAATGCACGCATTCAGATACTCCAACCTCACCAGCGCCCCAAGCTCAATTTCAGAATCACTCTGAAAAGCACATCGGACCTCCCTCACAATCTTATCCATCTTCTCGGGGTTTCTCAGCAAATGATACGTCAACCCACTCAACGCCGTAGCCGTCGTTTCCGTCCCGGCAACCATGAAAATCTGCGAATTGGCATACATCTCCTCACGGCTCAAACGGAGAGTCTCCTTCTGGCCCATCACAATGCCCCATAGATCCGGTTTGTGGACGTTGCGCGCGGGGTCCACGCGGGTGTCTACACGCTGCATGCACGCTTTGAAATGCGCGGCGGCCTTCGCTTTCAGGGCTTGCGGGACCAGCATCTGGGTGATACGCGCAGCCCACGGGTAGTAGCGGCCCAGTCTGCGCAGCGCGTTGGTTTTGATACTGAGGTATATGGCGGTAACCCAGTTGTCGTCGCCGGTTCCGGCGAGGAGGTTTAGCGAGGCTCCGAAGGTGAGGTCACCCATGATGTCGAAGGTTGTGAGGTTGTACTGGTGGACCAGCTCGGTGGGGGTTTGCGGACTTTCTCGTGTGAAGGTGCGTAGCTTGCTGATCAGCATGTCCACGTAGTGGGTGATGAGGGGTTGCTGTTCACGGAGCGCCTTTTCAGAAAAGGCGTGGGAGAAATTGCGGCGGAAGCGGGTGTGGTCTGGCCCTTTGGCACGAATGATATCTGAGGCGCCGTTGAAGGAGGGTCCGAGGAACCGGGTGTCCTTTTCTGTTGACTTTGTGCCCGCGCTTGCGTGGCCGTAGATGCCTTTCCATGCTTCTGGGGCTGTGTAACTCAACTCGTTGGGGGCTACGCGGACGACGCTGCCGTAGATCGTGTGTAGCTCTGTGATCCAGTCAACCTGGTCCCCTTTGGTGCTGTGGTATAGGTTTGGGATCCGGGATATGGCTGCGTGTTTTGGGCCCGGGAATCGGGAAAGGGGGTTGATGCATAGTTCGTAGAAACATTTTGCTGTGATAGTGAGTAGGATCTGGATTGATATAGTTTAGTGTCTGGCGTGCCTTGAAAGGGGCGATCTCAGTAGTACATACTGAGGTAGCTATCACAGCAACATAGTGCTGGGAAGTATAATCGGCAAGGGTCTGGAGCAGCATGTCGATGTTTACCAGATCAATAACCATAGAAAGAAATTAAAAGAAAGCAGTGATTGAGAAACAAACGCAATTATATATACCACTCTCGATGAGTTTCATATTTCAGTATACTAATAGTCTTGCAGGAAGGAGGGTCTAAATATGAACTGGTTATGAAGACTGTCTGCAGTATAAAGCAATTGATCATGGCATATCCGGCAACCCCACTTGGAAACCACAACGCTTATCCGCTTTGTGCGAATGATCTGCTGTGGCTGTTGGAATGGCTTCTCTGTGTTTATGCAAGGAGAATGGGCATAGGAGAATAGTGCACTACTCTGTTCTTTCTTTTGGATAGACGATAGTATGCGTGTTCCCTTCGAACATGCGTGCACGAGCAAAATGTAGGTCTCGAAACTCATGGAGCAAGAAAGTATGAATCCCTTTAAGCAACATCCAATATCATTATATGGAGCTGTAAATTGGCCGCTGCATAGATCTATCTATATCAACATCGTCGTTCGTCATCAATGCCACAAAATCAATGCCTCCCCTTCTCCCATTCCAAGGTCCCAGCTCGCTCCATCTTCCTCTCTCGTTCCCGATCCCGAGCAAGCCCTCGCTTTCGCCCGCCTACAAGCTCCTTCTCCTTCTCCCGCGGGTCAATCACCATTAACGAATCGGCGTCCCCGGGATGCTCCTTCTTCCACTTGAGGTCTTTGCCCTTCGTGTCCTTGCCGAATTGCAGCTGGTGGGTCAGCCAGCCCCGGTCGTCGTCATCCCCGGCGGCAGATTCATGGTCCTCATCCTTCCATGATTTGCAGGACTGGCAGTTGGCAATGAAGTGTAGATCGCAGAGCTGGGCTTCCGGGTCTTCGGACTCTTCGTTCTCGGTATGTGTGCCCTTCTTGGTTTTGGTCGGAGGGGGGGAGTTGGTGCGAGCAGGCTGACTCGTCTCTGCGGTCTCGAGCTTGGACTTGAACGCGTTGAATAATTGCAGGGTGTCCTTGTCAGAGGAGCTGCCGAGCCCGTTCGCGCCGCTGCGGCCGCCACCATTTGTGCTCCCTGGTGGTGGGCGTCTGCGTCCGCGGATCGCTGTGTCCGGGATCATGGCTTCCAAGGCGGATTTCTTGCGACCGGAGTCGGCAGGCCCTGCGTGCACGTCCCGACGCATGGAGGCCATAACATTCTCGATTTCGGCATTGGTACGAGATAGGAAGGACTTCTTTGCGGGGGGTGATCGCGATTGGGACGGCGAGCGTTCTGGCGACTCCGGGTCAGGCAGGGGGAGTTGTTTCTCTGGCTCGGGCGTCTTAGGACGGGGCCGACGCTCAGGAGACGGAGAGTGCGGCCGTTTGCGCGGTTTTGTCGGAACCTGTGTTTGATTCTCGGCTCGATTTTTGCCAGGAGCGTCGTTGGACGTGCCTTGCGTATCGGTAACGAGGCTGGCGTTGTATTTGGGTTTCGCCGGTCGTACGGGAATGTCTGCGGCCACGTCGCCATCATCTCCAAAACTCAACAGCGTCTTCCCACCTTTGGCCGCCTTCTTCTTCCTTTTGGGCGGTGCGGGTTTCTCCGACTTGTGCGCGGTCGCCGTGATCTGCCTCTCCTTGATCTTGCCGGCCAGCGGTCCCAGCTCCCCGACCTCGCAGCCAGTCACCCTGACCGGGTAAACCGGTGTTTCCGTACCCTCTATGCGCTCCGCCTCCGCGATCTTCAGCAAGTTGTAGATGGAGTCACCTTCGATGCGCCCGAAGAGCGTACACTGCCCATTCAGCTCGCGCTCCGTGTTCCCCAGAGTAATGAAAAACTGGCTTCCGTATGTGCCGTCCTCGCTCTTCGCCATTCCCACCAGTCCTCGCCGGTTAAACCGTAGCCGACTGTGTAGCTCATCGCGTAGCACGACCTTCTCGTCCGGATCGCGCGCGTCCGGATCGTACTCAAACTCTGGGTCCTCATAGATAGACGTCCCGCCCGACCCGGTACCTGTCGGATCGCCGCCCTGGACGATGAAGTCCGGTACGATGCGATGGAAGATGGTGCCCACGTAGTAGTTGTCCTGGCAGTGTTGGAGGAAATTGCGGCACGTGAGGGGAGTCTGGTTGGCGAAGAGGGCGATCTGCAGAGGACCGAAGGTGGTTGACAACGTGGCGGATGCGGTGGCCGCCGGCTCGGTGGAATAATGGGCGGACATTGTGAAGTGGAAGGCAGGCTTATTTAGGGGGTCGTTGGAGTGAGGCCTGCGCGGGTGCAGGTCCTGCAATCGCCGGTCGGGAGAGGCTCAATCGGATGGTAGGCGGTGATAAGGCTGGGATCATGAAGTTTAGTTGCCTTCAATGTAGTGTTAGGACAACTCTTGTTGCTGGATAGGGTAATAGGAGGGCAAATTGCCCGCGAGGTGGATGCGAGGGATCGGGGGAGGAAAGTTGACCGGAGCTGAAGCTTTTCGGGGAAACTTTCAGCGCGAAGTCAACGTCATGTCACGCTCGCTTTCTCCCTTTATTTGGCCTAACCCCGTCCAACCACCACCCACAACTAAAGTGCATTGAGTCTTCGACACGCATTTATTGAGACCAATATTGTACACTTATAATGGTAAATTATCATATGATAATATAACTGATAGTTTTTACTGTTATCGTATCTTTGAAGAAACAACAAATACCGCTGATATGGCTATCTCCGTCGAATCGTTTAATTACGTGCAGCATCACGGCTCATGATTATCTCAGTTGGGTATTTCTTCTCCTACAAATAACTTTAAACAGTCATGGTCGCCACAAACCAGATCACTGCATAGGACATGGGTCGTCATCCGTGTCCTGAGCCCTTGTTGACTCCGTCTCATCTCCGGCCTCGAGTGCATCAATCCGTCGTCGAACACGCTCAAGATCAGGGGCCGAATCGGGGCCCGATAGCATGGTTTCCTCAGCTATAATTGCCTCTTGTGGCCGATTCCTTTGCCGCAACCAAGCCGTAAAGCTCCGCATCATCATCGTCCTCATTATATCCGCCTCTGGGCCTCGTATACCCTCTGGTGGGGAAGGGATCTCGTCGTCATCTTCTCTGTGAGTATTATTCTGCGGTACTAGGCCGGAGACACTCGGCCTTTCATCCTCCCCTATTACTCTGCTAGTATCAGGCTGCGATGCCGGAGCTATCGGCAAGGGAGGAGCTGTGCCATTCATCTTCGCAAGCACATATTCGACCGTCTGCCGAAGAAGGAGATTGCGCACACCGTTGTGCGCTCTCCAATCATGGATTTGCCTCGGAACAGTAGGGCCGACATAGACCTGGTTGGGGTGGTCAAGGGCAAGCGGCCACAGGTCCTCGAGTAATGCGCTCTGAGATGAGAGCATCCCATAGAGATCGCCCCAGACGAGATTGCCTAGAATGCGCATCTGTCCGTGGTATCCGGGGGATTCGCCGGGTCGCCCGCATCCTTCTTCAGGATCATAATCTGCATCGACGGCGAGGACGAAGCCAGTGAAATCGCCAGCTAGCAGGAGATCAGTTGCGGCGGAGTAGGTATCTCCCATGTATGAGGAGAAACTGGCATGGTCGGCGACGAGGAATACCCGGTCGTTCACGTGGTCATTCGGGTCGAATGATGCTAAAGCATCGCTCGTGAACTGCCTACAGAGGTAGCTAGTCAGTTAAGGGCTATTGTCTTTTTTTTGCCAGATAACCATACCGCTGCGCCGCTTCTACGTCTCCCTCGGGAATATTCAGTGCTTGTCCATCCAACCAATGGAGTTTCAGATGCCCTTTGAGCTGGCCACTTCCCGTCTGGCCTCGTCCCCAGTTTGAGACATGAGCTTCTACCTTTTTCACAAAAGCCGCCCATTCGGCTTCGGACTGCTGGTATGTGAGCCGATAAATGGCGAGACCCCGACGTGGATGGCTAGGGGAGCTCTCAATCATAAACAGCTCTCGCATGATCCACGGTTCTTTGGGCATTGTCGATAACGGCTCACCTCGGGTTTCTAACCGCACCAGCCGCTGGGCCTCAACTTGGTCAGAGGCCGTCTGACGGAGCGATTCCGGCGATGCGACACCACCTCCCGCACTTCTTCCTTGTGCGACACGTCGGTATATGATTTGTCGACTGACTTGTTTCAACCGCGAGATGTAGGCTTTTTGGCGGTCGGCCGATACAGGCGACTGCAGCTTTGGTGGGATATTGGGTCTCAGTGGAGGTGCAGTGTACCCCTTGTAGCCATGCATTGGCAGCATGATCCCATAGTCCGCGACCGCTACAATTTCCGCCAGAATTTGCAGATTGTCTGTAAGGTTCCATTGGATATGATCGACCACATCCTCTCTCGTCGGGCGATGCGACGCCAACGATTGCAGTAGCGGAGCCTGCAGCGCGTTGACATGAAGTATCACCCAGCGGTGTGCGCGCTCCGTGATAGTCTCATAGTGCGCGGCGATGAACTCTGTCCAGAGGCTAGCGACGCTGATGCGTGCCTCACCCCGCGAAGCGCGCCTCTCGTTGAGCACAGTATCTAGCTCCGCCCAATGATCCCAGATCAAGTTGTACGTGTCTCGTAGATTGCGCAAGACCCGCGGTTGGTTCAGGTAGTGGAATGCAGCCAGCACTGCGGACAAATGCTGAGAGGCGATTTCGAAGTTCTCGGGACGGTCGAGGCCCTTTTCCTGCCATCGCTCTTGACAAAGTGGGACCATCCCTTCCCACAGACGAGATTTGATGAATTGAATGTTCTTTCCCACGAGGCACAGCCGATCGCCGTCTTCCATGGAGCCGACCCGCTCCATGACGCGCCCAATGATCGGTTGGCCATCGTCGCGAGGGAGTACTGCGATCTGGACTTCCTCGCCGGTGAGTCGGGTAAGTTGCGATTCTTTCCCGTTGGGAAGGGCCCCTTCGACGCAAAAGTGGAGGAAGTGCGCGATCGTTTGGGGTTCGATTAGACGGTCAACTGCGGTGGTTAGTAGGCTCAGTGCGTATCCCACGAAAGACGTCATTTACCGATCTCCAGATCCTGGTCCTTTAGATGGGCCTCAAGGATGATGCTACTTCTCTGGACGATGGAAGGGTTCAGGTGATCGTATCTAGTACTCATTGCGGCTAGAATTTGGGATAGGAGCACCACAGTCTGTACTGTTTATTGGAGAGGGGAACTGGTGTTTACGAGGTTCGAAAGGATTTATCGTGGCATACTAGGCAACCGAGTGGCAGAGACGCCATGTTTGTCTAGCGTGTCTAAAAACCTGGTGATGTCCAAGACACACATCGCTCTGGTTCTTTCGGACTCGTCTTGAGCCTCAGTGCGAGCGGGATTGGCCTGGATCGTGTGCTTATTCCCAATTGGGACTTTATAGGCAGAAATGAGCAGTGGTAGCGGAAGCCACTAACTGCATTCTATCACGTTTTCTCCATGGCTCGGGTCTGATTGGAAACAGTAATCGTATGGCTGAACCGCAATTTTGTTGTCTGAGATGTGTCTCAGAATTATCTTCGAGTCAAAGCGTCCTATGTCTGTCAGTGGCACACTTTAGCCGAGGATATCGCATGCCTCGAAATGGTAACGTTCACTCAACCAATATACCATTCAGGTGTACCATAAATAAGATAGAGGGATAAAATTTCCATACTATTGCCAGAGCACGTGCAGTACATCCAAAAACATTCGATCGGCCATTCTTCCGATCCCCACAATTCCGGAAGCCCCGCATTAGTTCTGCGCGCATGAGGGGTGAGAACCATGCATTATCATCCCTACTATCAACATGTCGGATCGCATTGACGTGCTGCTTTATGGGCTCGGAGCGTAAGTCCTCAATAACATTCCAATAGGCGCGGAACCATCTAAGAGCACTCAGAATCGGCTCCTTTTACGCCTTCATCTTGCAACGTTGCGAGCGGGTGCGCCTGACCGTCGTCGCGCGCTCCAACTACGAAGCCGTCAAGAGCAATGTATGTTCGACTTCTCGAGAGATCTGTGGCTGTAATAACAGAAACTTCCCAGGGAGTCTTTGTGAACAGCGCCAATCACGGCCAACATCACTTCCATCCATACAAAGGCGACTAGCCCATCTCCCCCTTCCCATGATTGCCTAGAACAGCTTAATAACAATTACCACCAGTGGTCAAATCCCCCGCCGAGCTGACTGAGAAACTCGACTTCGTCGTATGCGCCCACAAAGCCATTAACCCGGAGGCTACGCCGGCGGCCCTTGCGCCCGTCGTGGGCGACAACACGACTGTCGTGATCATCCAGAACGGAGTCGGCAACGAAGAGCCCTTCCGGCGCGCGTTTCCCACAAACTCGATCCTAACCTGCGTGGTATGTTCCTTTTCCTCCACCCTCGACCGTCAACTTGATGCCGACCGCCGTAAAATCAACAGGCCTGGGTAGGAGCCAGCCAACCCACCCCGGGTACAGTCCACCACACCGTAGCAGAAAACACCCAAATCGGGCTCTTCACCAACGCATTGTCTCCCCCATCACCAGAGGAACACACACGCCTCGCGACCTTCGCCGCCCTCCTTCAAGAAGGGGGCACAAACGTCGACGTCGTGGACGACATCCAGCGGCGCCGATGGGAGAAGGTCGCGTGGAATGCCGCCTGGAACGCTATCACCTCGCTGACGAGGATGGACACGCAGGACTGGCTGGACTCGTCACCCGACGCGGTGTCTCTGTCTCAACGGCTGATAAAGGAGGTGGTGTCCGTTGGGAGAGCGTGCGGCGTGCCGCTGCCGGATGGGTTGGAGGAGGAGTTTATTACGCGGGCTCGTGCGCTGGGGAGGATGCGGACTAGTATGCAGTATGATTGTGAGAATGAGAGGCCAATGGAGATTGAGGTCATTTTGGGGTATCCGGCGAGGAAAGCGAGGGAGTTGGGCGTTGATGCGCCGGTATTGCAGACGCTGTATGCGTTGTTGCGGGCTGTTGATGGACGATTTGCTGCTGGGGGGGTGGGTTCCGAATAGGCTTGTGATACTGTCTTCTAGAGTTTAGAAAAAAAAGTCGTAAGATATCCTACAGGGGATTTTATATTAAAGGTATTAAAACTAGTCAATAACCAAAGCAACCAGATGCCAACACATTACGCCCAAGACCTAGTTATCTCAGATGCCGTACACGTCAAAATAGCAATCGCTTATATCGGGACAACTGCATTTCACGTTAGAAGACACACGTAAAGGTTCATACGAACTTTGAAGAAGCAAAGGCGATCTTACTAAACCGGGTCCTGCCCGAATATAATATGCCACATATACTCCATCACCCTCCCACTAACATCATCCTCCAGCTCCGTCTGCATCAACCAGCGATGATACTGTGTGTAGGCGCTGAGGGGTCTCTTTAGCACCTGCTTCCTTGACACCGCAAACTGCGCACAGCACGGCGTGGCCACCACGTCCGGAACATCCGTACTATTGAAGAAGCTGACCCAGGCTCTCGCGAACGCCAAGTCTGTGTCCTTGGCCCCACTGTTCTGCAAAACGGAAGAAGAGGAGGACGGCAGGAACGGCCGGATCTCGTCGGGACAACCCGGGTTCGGATTACAGCGTAGGTTGGCGTAGCCGTTGCGCTGGATGTGGTCTGTCTGCAGCATCTGGACAGTCTCGACGTTGCTGTGCTGGCTGAACTCGGTATGCCATGCTTGCGGGTAGCCGTCGCGGTGACTGTGGAGGAAGATGATTGTTTCTGGGAGGTTGTGGTAGTTGTCGATGATGTATTGGAGGTACGCGTTGGCTTCTTTGCCTTTGTTTTTAGAAACCGAGAGAGGTGCGCTGGGGTCGTCGACGGTGTAGATTGCGTTTTGCCATCTGATTGAGATTAGTATTTCCCTACCTATCTAGGTATTCAGCTTTGTGAGGAGCGGTGGTGGTGGTGGCATACTCGGGTAGATCGCGCAAGATCCAGCTTGTGTCTTCGTTGGACAATCTCCCCACGACGATGACGCCGTCTCTCATCTGAAGCCCAGACGCCTCATCCATAACTATTTGGTCCCCTTTGCCTATCTGGTCTCCTCGCGACGGCGCAAGGCGCTGCGCATTGAGCCGTTTACGCGACGAAGCCGGCGTTGGGTCCGGGTATAAGACTTGTGTCCGGGTATCTGGCGAACGAATGACTGGTCGAGCGGTCGAGTTGGCACCCTGCTTGTCTGTATCACTTTGCGCGACACCGCTGCGCTTTCCGGCCTGCAATGAGAAAGAAAAACTGCGGATATCGTCCCATTTCGACTGGATCACAGACGAGTGTCGCTCAGTGATCAGCATGCAAAGAATTAACAGCACGGCTACCGTGCAAATGCGTTCAAAGGCTCTCATGATTGACTTCTGGCCTTCCCACCCACTCAATTAGGAGGCTTAGGATTGCAAAAGTCTGCGGAGAGGCAGTGGAGAAAAGCGGTTCTTTCAGAGTGCGCCAGGGCAGAGACCCCCTGTGGGGCAAGACAGTGATAGTAGTTACTAGGTGACGGCACGAGATGATCCCAACACACCAGCCAGAAGTGTTCCCTATTGAAGTCAGTTGAGTTATCACCCCTGGATGTTTGAGAGCTCCAGAGCATGCGCGAGTATTGATGTCATTGCAAGGTGTGATCCGAATGACCGTTTCTGCAGTTGTCTGCATTGCGTGCGGGCCGCTGTGGATCCGGCCAGCATCTTTTCCGTGGTTCAGGGAGGGTAGGCGCCTCGATTTCATCATCGACCTGCCAGGAACGAATCCGATCGCTGGTATCGTGCCTTAATTCCGGACCTGAGTATGTTTATCTATGGCGTTGTTGGGGGACATTTGATCATGGTTAGTGTGGCGGTAAGTGACTATAGATGTTCCGGTATCGGTCAAAAGAACACCGCTATCATCACTCAACTATAAAGGCATCATGGCACTTATGCTCCTGGGAATTACTAGTTTTTTTTGTCGCCTGGGGACTTGCCCTGTCTAGATCTCGACCACACCATGGAGACTTGCGCATTATACATACCGGGAATGTGTATTGAAGCAATTGAGATTTCCAAAGCTCTCGGTATTGACGCTGAGGACTCATCCTTTGAGGAATTGGGATTGATTACCGTCACCGAAAGAAGTGCTGGCAAGGGGTAAATCCCAATATCTCGCTGGAGTACTTCGCAGGTATCTGAGACCCACGGAATGTTAAGCTGTCAACTACCCTTGATCGGACATTCCTCGCTATATAAAACTGCTGCGTGGCTGATCGTCGGGAGCAGTATGCTGGCAGCGTCACTTCAGGATGCGGAGAGGCATTGGTATATCCTCAAAACGTGATATTCTTTTGTAATTGAGATATAATTAACTATTAGCTATTGTATCATATAGTAGTATAAACAATCAACGAGTCATTAAGCGTATAATGCTTGAAAAAGGCCTGTATCTTCACGCAGCACAAATTAGTGGGCATTAAATCCAGCCTGATAAGGCTGGTCAGAGTTTCGTAAACAATATCATCCCCTCGTTTCCCCTCGTTTCCATTGCCATTTAGGCACGAGAATCATTACTCTCCTTTGTCGAAAGCCTCGCCTCCTTCCGCAGCTTATGGGTAGAAATGCATGACCGAACAAAAAGCCAAAAATACAAAATCCTGTCTCAGTCAGTAACGCGCCCCCTAGAAACCCAGACAGGTAATCATCACTTACATGGTGACCAAAGCCATCGCCGTCCCAAAGTGCTCAATATTTGCCAAGGTCACTTGGTAGCAGTCTCTATATCCTGAATCGCAACTAGACCTAACACCTGTAAAATATGGCATCATCCACAGCAGGAACATAATTATAGTCGCAACCAATCCGGTCCACGCGAATAGATCGAAGGTAACATATACGCCATGGTGGATTGGTTTACGCGATAGCAACTCGACGCATACCGCTATAACTGACCACGCAAGGGTGTATGCGGTCTGGATTATGGAAAAGTCGTCCGTCAGATCTGACCTCTCTTGTAAAGTGTATAATTGAAGGCTGGTGTACTTACGCCTGCTATAACTGGACTGAGCACGGGCCCGCCCATGTCATAGTAGCCCATTTCGCTTATGTCGTGGCTGCTGTTTGCCCATCCGAAGACGCAGAGCGCAATGAGTGAAGTGACTCCTGTGAGGATGCGCAGAGACAGATTGGTGCTCTGAGTGTACCATTTTGCTGGTGTAGGAAAGCCCATGTTTGATTATTTGTTGGGTAGAAGAGGTGTAGATTGTGAAAACACGAGAGCTTGGATGAAGATTGATGTTTGTGATGTTTCGTCCATCTTATTTATCCTTTAATCTTTTATAATGCAGCCTCATGGTCGCAATGGGCTTAAAATAGCATAGGCCAATGCTTTGACGACATGTCAGGCAGGTGGCAATCACCGAGTCAGTTGCGGATCTAGCGTCCGCGCAGACCACCACATGCTACCATTTATCAAAAAGCGGCTTAGATCAGAAGTCAGGCTGTCGGATCTAAAAAATTATCTTTGGTTAGTGGGGATAGCATGGCGGTGACTCGAAGGATTTGTGTGTTGGTTGGAAGAGCCTTGGCCAAATCGTTGAACCTATTGGGTATCGAGATCTACACTCCGCCATGCACTGCCCAGGATGATCTATACAACTTAACCCTAAACTGATAATGGGACAACGGGAAGTCTATCGTACACAGGCAGTGCTGAAGATTATACTCCACTTAAGGCAGAATAATAATATGTAACGCTCTTGCCATTAGGTATGCAGAGTGTGTTCATAATGATATCACAGGATCGTTTACTGTAGGGCACGAGTTCGGGGAAATTAAACTTTCCTAGCTGCGCATCGTGGCTGGACTTTTCGCGCCTATTAAGGATTCAGCTACAGGATTAAGCAGGACCAATCGACTCGGAAAAAATATAGTATAAAAGATTAGGAGCCAAGTAATTCGAAACGAGAGGTTTAGGTTCTATACTATTGGTGGAAGAGCACCAATAGTGTTCAAACTTTTTGCACCCCTTGAGTGGGAGAGCAGTAATTAGATACAGTAATATTAGGTAGCATATTAACCGTAGGATAAATTAGGTCCCAACATATCCATCCACGTCAATAGCGCTCGCTGATTATCGGATACAAAAGCCACGAACGCTCTTCCACCTTGATCCGGTTATTGACAGGGGACCATGCTGAGGTGGGCAAAATTAGAATTGAGTCGAACTAAGCGCCCTCTTCGGGGTAATGTTCGTAGTTCTGGTAGGGCTCGTAAGAGGAGTAAGGATCGTATGAGGCAGCTTCGGCTTCGGCATTCTCCTCATTGGCATCGCGCTTGTAGGAGCCGTAGTTCTTGTAGGGGGCGTAGTTTCCGTAGGGCTTCGCTTCTCCCTCCTGCGACTCCGCGTCCCGCTTGTAGGAGCCGTAGTTCTTGTAGGGGGCGTAGTTTCCGTAGGGCTTCGCTTCTCCCTCCTGAGACTCCGCGTCCCGCTTGTAGGGGTTGTAGGTTTTATAAGGGGCGTACTGTCCATAGGGCTTCGCTTCTCCCTCCTGTGACTCTGTGTCCCTTTTGTAGGGGTTGTAGGTTTCGTAAGGGTTGTAGTGTCCCTCGTCCTGGTCCCTGGCCTGGTGGTTCACGTCCCGCTTGTAGGGGTTGTAGGTCTTATATTTGCCATAGGGCTTTGCCTCTCCCTCCTGTTGCTCCACATCCCGCTTGTAGGGGTTGTAGGTCTTGTACTTGCCATAGGGCTTTGCTTCTCCCTCCTGGTGCTCCACATCCCGCTTGTAAGGGTTGTACGTCTCGTAGGGAGAATAGCCATAGTCCTTGTAGTCGGCGTACTCTCCATAGGGGTTCTCTTCGCCATCCTCTGGCTTGGCGTCCCTCTTGTAGTGGTTATAGGTCTTATAAGGGGCGTACTGTCCGTAGGGCTTCGCTTCCTGGTGCTCCACATCCCGCTTGTACGGGTTGTACGTCTCGTAGGGAGAATAGCCATAGTCCTTGTAGTCGGCGTACTCTCCATAGGGGTTCTCTTCGCCATCCTCTGGCTTGGCATCCCGCTTGTAAGGGTTGTAGGTCTTGTAGGGAGAATAACCATAATCCTTGTAGTCGGTGTACTTGTCATACGGCTCGTAGCTTGGGTAGCTGGCGACGCCCGAGTCTCCGTCGGCCTGCTTCTTCTCGTCGGCTTCGACGGGAAGAGCGCTCACAGAGAGGAGCAAGGTAGCTAGAGTGAAGCTGGTGGCGACGAAACGCATGATGGATGACGAGTCTTTGTTAGACTGGAGAACAATGTATTGTGTGGGGGTGGGGATGGAAGAGCTGTCATTGTGTCAAAGCCGGTGGGTAGACAGGGTTATATAGACCTAGCCAAGACGTAAATCTACATAATTTGAGAGATGTCTGCGCGTCATTATGAACTATTGGAATATTTTTCATTGCTCTAGACAATTGCATCAGAATCGTAGTTTGTATACAATTGGCATGTGGCAAAGGCGAGTAGCCATGGGAAAGTTAGAAAAGTAATAATGGATATGACAGCTGTGACTTGGCTGTCAATTGTTTTCAGTCTCATAAAAGCACAATGTAATACTAAAATCAAACATTGAATTCCAATCCATAATGGCGAATACAGCCGGTTCCATGCTGTCAGCTACCTATTCCGGCGATATAAAATAGAAGCCGACCCACTATGTCGGGGTCGCGCGGAAACCACACCCACAAAAATAGACCAAACAGCTTTAAATAGATCCCTTTCCCCAGGGTTCTAGACAGTACAATCAAAGTCAATCCCAGCAGTGGTGACGGATCCTAAACTTAACCAGTTTTTCATGAAGTTCATTGCCGGAGACGGAAATAGAGCGAGAATGTTTGACTCGTGACGTAGGTTCTTCTCAGAACACCCTCAGGTATCTACGTCGAAGAATAGATCTCAATTTACTTGATACAATCTATTTTAGATTCAAAAGTACAGGCCCAATTCTTGACACTTGAGACTTTTGCTGCAATTTAATCATTCAATCTCAATGGATCCAGACACAATGGCCGCTACGCCGCCAGATGAAGAGCAGCAGAAGAGCCTCCTCTCTGAAGAAGAGGGTGTCTGGGTGGACACGGAAAGGAAGGCGAAGAAAAGCTTTCCCCAAATCTGGCAGATTTTCGTGTATCCTATAGCCGTGGCTGCGATCTTCGCTATGGGGGCTGTATCTGGCTACTATTGGGACGACATGGATAAGCATTGCAGTACCTACGTCTCGCAGCCCTGTATGACTTGGACTCTCAACTCCCTATCAGCTGGTAAGGAACAGTTGCTAATCATTTGCAGCACCATTGTTGAGGGACATGGGTGTCAAATACCATGTTCAACAATACAACGGGTCCTTTCTCCACGAAAACATCTATCGACAAGACGCAAGTCCCGAAGTGGACGAGGCTTGGGAGGCCCTGGGAACAGACTGTGAGCACTCTGATCGGTTTGTTGAGAGACTATGGTTTGTTAACAAAAACAAGACCGACCGCTTAGGGTTCCCCCCGAGGCGGCAGAGGAAGCAGGTATCGCCCATGATCAAGTCAAGATCAACGAGAAATACGGCGGTGGATATCCCGCCAATCTGGAGGGTCTGCACCATCTTCATTGCTTGGTAGGGAATCCCACGACCCATACTGCTTTGATTTGACTGACAAAGATATGGTAGAATCTCCTCCGGAAATCGCTATATTACAACTATGACTATTACCATGACCTAGGCCAAGGTGCTTTCGTGAACGATGACTACATCGTCAAGCGCCACGTCTGTAAGTATTTTGTCTACTGGGCAAACTGTAACGGATATTATACTTACTCATTATTAGCCCACTGTATGGACATCATTCGTCAACAACTCATGTGCACAGCCGACACCGGCGTGCTAGGGCAGATCTGGGTGTGGCCCGACGGCCCCAAGCCGTTTGTCGACTTCAATACTAAACACAAGTGCAAGAATTATGACGCGATTCGGCAGTGGGCTCATGATAATCAGTTACCTGAGCATCCTCCTCAGGACTACATTCAAAAGCAGCCGGAAGAAGGGGATAGAATTTATCCCGAGATTCCTTAGGTTGGAGATAGTCTACGATGGTGAAGTCATTGGGTCTTTGTGCCGAAATGGGATGTTTAATATCAGATCTTGGGTGTCCCGTGTTATTTAATCACTACTTAGTAATATATAATGGAGCATACTTTCACCCAGGACGGGCAGCATACACAGAACGACAGGTATAGGTCTTGCTTATCTATTGCACTGTGGTGGATATTATGTTCATTTTATCTAATATAGATTAATACGCACTGTGCTCTGTATTTATAATATCATGTGTCATTGGCAATACCTTCCACGAACATCTCTGTGGTCACCCAAGTTCAAAGACTGCCTTAAGTAACAATCATTGTCTGGTATGTCTGTGACTGAGCCTCGGGGGTGAAGCATTCCCATTCGAAGAAAGTGAATATGACAGTGTTGAACCCTACCCAACTAGATATTTACTAGCAAGATAATAGTGAATATACAAATTTCTTGGACTATAAATACCATCGTTCTTCCCTTATTCCTGCCTTGTTCATCCATACCTCTACCAATCTCTTCCCCCACGAGCAAGTCATCCTATCGACACCAAGAGCATCACAACCATGTCCAAGTCTAGCTTCGCAGTCGAGGAGCACGTCCTTGATGGACAGCACATCCGCGAATACCCTGGTGCCACCATAACCCCCGACGCGCCTATCAAGCTCGCCGTGAAGAAGTACATTCCTCTCGATAACCCCAATCCCCAGCCCGGCAACGTGACCATCATCGGGTCTCACGGAGCTGGTTTTCCCAAGGTGCGTTGGCTCGACACTACCCTTACGTAGACGCCGTATACCAAACTCACCTTTAATGTCTTGTAGGAACTTTACGAGCCCCTGTGGGAAGCTATGCTAGCCAGAAGCGAAAAAGACGGTTACCGCATCCGAGCTATCTGGATTGTTGATAGCGCCCACCAGGGAGCAAGCGGAGTGTTGAACGAGAGGATCATTGGGAACGATCGTAAGTACCGCCCACCCTGTATGTCTGGAGATCCATAACATAACTGGATGACAGCGTCCTGGTTCGACCACTCACGCGACCTCCTGCACATGATTAACCACTTCCGCGACGACATGCCCCGTCCTATCATCGGCGTCGGACATAGTACTGGCGCCACGCAGCTGTAAGTACATCCTTTTCCGTCTATATCAATACAAACGAACCAAAACAAATTACTAACAAATAACCAGGATTTTCCTCTCCTTGATCCACGCTCGTCTGTTCGCCTCTCTCGTCATGATCGAGCCCTATTTTATCGGCAAAGAGAGACACACCCAAGGTCTGGGAACCCTCGCGTCAGCCATCCAGCGCAAAGACACCTGGCCCTCCCGTTCCGCCGCAGACAAACACTTCCGTAAGGCATTCCGCGTCTGGGACCCCGCCGTCCTCGACCGCTGGACTCAGTACGGTCTACGCGATCTTCCAACCGCCCTACACCCTGAGATCAACTCTGAAAGACACAATCCACCCGTGACCCTCACCACAACCAAGCACCAGGAAGCCTTTTTCTACACACGTAGCAACTTCAACCAGCACAGGGAGCTAGGTGCAGTCTATGCAGGCGAAGCCAGCAACGATCCGCGCCCACCGCACGATCCGCTCCTCGTCCCCGATATGGTGGGCCCCTTGCACCCGGGTCAGAAATTCTACCGTCCGGAGCCTGTGCTGGCGTTTACAATGCTACCTCATCTCAGGCCTGAGGTGTTGGTGTTGAGTGCTGCGAGGAGCGCACTGTTCCGGTCTGGGATCCACGACGCGGCGGTGAAGATGATCGGCACGCGGTTTGCTGGCAGTGGAGGGTTGGAGTATGGTCATGTTCGACATGATGTTGTGCAGAAAGCGGGACATACTTTGCCGATGGAGAAGGTTGCGGAGACTGCCGCTTTGGTTGGTCCGTGGGTTGGTGGGAAGCTGAGGAAGTGGAGTGGGGACGAGAAGTGGATGGCGGCCATTGAGGTTAAGCCGGTTATTTCTGAGGAGTGGATTGCTGAGTTGAAGGCGAGGGCTTCATCTGACAAGTCGTTGGCGAGGAAGAAACTGTCTAAACTGTAGGTTTTTATGTTTGGGTATGATCTGGATTGGGTCGGGGTTTGGTTGGATGGTTTGACAGGGTAGGATTGTGATTAATCGGGTTTATTTGTTATGCTTGGTAGATGTTCAAGAGGTCTACAGATATTAATACTAAATTTGGAAATTGTTTTTAGAGTTGAAGGTCAAAATAACGTTATTATCATTGTTGGTCTACCGCTGGTGCCATCCACAAAGTACTTAGTAGTGATGGCACTCTAATTTTACGTAGTATACCTGACTAGGACGACAACAGTATACAGTACTACCTCAAGATGGTTATCACACAGACCAAATCCTCACCAGAGACATGTGTCACAAGTAATCGTCATTTCTGCAGCCAGACCTGCCATTAATCTACTCCATACATAGGCCCACCATAAAGGTCGGCAAACGTTCGCAAAGACCACCTCTACAGAACGGCCGACCCGAGTGGGTCTATCGACTACCCGAGTACAACTCTCGGCCACGATGCATTTCTGCAGTCGGAATTGTCAGGAACCAGAATAGACCCAATCAGAAGTCCAATCGGAAAATTCTGCCATTCACCAGTACAAAAGAGGCATAGATCAGGGTGCGGGTATGCAGATCGCTGGCGTCGGCCAAAGTCCTTAGTTAGGGTCGGCCGATGATTCATCGCCCGTCGGCCAACTTGAGATGGCCGAAGTATACCATCAGTGATGCAACAGTGGGCCGTATGGGTGAAAATGGCAACATGACAGCCCAATTCGGGTATACATCGATGGCCGATGTCAATTGAGGGTATCCACTTGCCAGCAGAGATTTCGCCATGCTTGGGTTGCTTCGATCCATATTTGTCTATATAATGAAGACCATTTCTGGTATATGGTTGTTCTCCGCAGACCAACGACCAAAGAAGTTTTCATTTATATACTTTTTTCAACAGATTCAACAAACAAATGGATAAAGAAGAACGAAACGACTCGCCCGGCCTCTACCCCGAAGGCGGCTGGAAAGCCAACTCGGTTGTCATCGGCAGTTTCTGTTCCATCATGGGCGGACTCGGGCTCATGAACAGCATCGGCATTTACCAGGCCTGGATATCAACCCACCAGCTGGAATCCATGAGTGCTGGGCAAATCGGCTGGATCTTCGGGATATACAACTTCTTGATCTTCTTCTGCGGCATCCAGATCGGCCCGATCTTCGATGCCAAGGGACCGCGCGTGCTCATGCTCGTGGGATCTATCCTCGTCATTCTCACTCTCATCCTCGTGGGCTTCTGTCGCGTGTACTGGCATTTTCTCATCGTCATCGGCATTCTTGGCGGCATGGGGACTTCTTTCATCTTCATTGTTCCGGTAGCCAGCATCGGACATTTCTTCTACCGGCGGCGAGGCGCCGCCACAGGGCTGGCCCTGTCAGGCGGCAGCATCGGGGGCGTCATCTTCCCTCTGGTCCTGGAATATCTAGCTCCCAAGATCGGATTCGCGTGGGCTACTCGCGTCATCGCCCTCATCACTCTCATCCTCCTCATCCCCGGCTGTATCCTCGTGCGAGCCAATCTCCCACCAAAGCCATCACTCTCCTCCAAGCGAGAAATCCTCCCCGACCTCACCATCCTCAAAGACCCGTTACTTGCGCTGACGACGCTAGGCGTGTTCTTCATCGAATGGGGCTTCTTCATCCCGCTCGAGTACGTGGTCTCGTACTCGCTCGCGCACGGTATGTCTCGCCGTCTTGCCTACCTGACCATTGTGTTCTTCAACGCGGGCTCCTTCCCCGGCCGCTGGCTCCCGGGCATCATGGCCGATAAGATCGGCCGCTTCAACACGTTGATCCTCACTAACGTCTTATGTCTGATTGCGGTCCTGGCGGTTTGGATGCCTGCCGATGGGAACGTCGCTGCTACTGTTATCTTCGCCGTCGTGTTTGGCTTCGCGAGTGGGAGTAACATTAGTTTGGTGCCCGTTTGTGTGGGAGAGCTTTGCTCTACTGAGTCTTATGGGAGGTTTTATACTACTGTGTATACGATTGTTAGTTTAGGGTATGTTTCTCTTTCCTCTTCTTTATCTTGGATATAAAGCTAATGTGGTGTAGGGCTTTGACTGGGGTTCCGATCGCTGGTGAGATCATCCATCGGTGTCAGGGGGCGTATTGGGGATTGATCGCTTTTGCGGGGTGTTCGTATGCTGCGGGACTGGTGTGTTTTATCATTGTGAAGTTTATGCAGGAACGTAAGGGGAAGAAGGGCGGTGGAGTAGAGGTAAATGCTTAATGTAGGAAGCTTAATGCGTGAAGACAATTAGATATCATGAATATATATATTTTATAGACAGAACGTTTCCACTAGCAGATGCAGAGTAGACAGGGCAGTTGTCTTCTGATAAGAATTCAGGGTAATACCGAGAATGGAGTCCAGAGCGCATCGAAGAACAATGAACCACTTCTCCGATACTGTGCTTCTGTTGAGTATTGATATTTGATCATTGGCCTAGATAATGATGTTCAGGTTGGTTACCCGGTACTCTCACACCAACGAAACCTTTCCTGTAAACCCTATTTGTCTTAAAAGGAACCGAGATAGCCCCCAGATCACTAGATTATCCACCTTTTCTCCGCGAAAAAAATTTCCATATTAATTCATCCTTGGTGGTTAAGGATCTTGGAGAAGGGGCATATTGCGTCGGATGGGTTGTTTCAGAAGTAAGAAAGATAGTTATTGTATATAGAACTCTAGGTAGCAGACAGAAATATAACAAAGGTCCTGTGGTCTAGTGGTTATGACGTCGGATTCTGATTCCGTAAGCCCCGGTTCAATTCCGGGCAGGACCTCTTCTTTCTTTTTTGGTTTTTTCCTTTTTTTTTTTTTTGCCCTGCATGCAATATGTATCTTTCATTTCTTTTTGAAGAAGATGTCCACGTGGAATTGGTTATAAATCTACGTTTTCCTCATAGTAATACTACAATCATGCTGCCTGCTACTTCGGAGTCTTGGACGCTTCCTGGGTGTTAAGTTATCAGCCAATCCGTCCGTATCGCCCATAAGCAATCAATTCTTTCAAAGTCCACCACAGGATTTTTTGTACGATATACTTGAGAAACACTGGGTTTCATGCTGCGAGGTCTCATACGTGTGATTACCGCCCGTGGCTGCTTATACTTCAGATTGTTTTATCAAGCCGATTTAGTCTGATCTGGTTCTCTTTTCACCATATGGGGGATGAGGGTAAGTTATAATTTTCCAGAACAAGTCCATTTACAAGGTAGGCCATTGATATGACAGCGCTCCAGTATTTAAACGATCTGCCGAATCATGTGGGCACTACTAATCATCAAGCTTTATATTAGCTTAATTAACAGCCCGCGGGTACTTGCATTTATATAAGATTTTCGACAAGGCCAAGGCCAAAAGTGTGTTTCAGATCAGCCCAGATCTCATTTATCTGGTTCTGTGGAATTTGGCCGACCCAGTGACAGGCTTCAGCAAGTAGAAATCTACCGGGGCGTTTTTCGTGTCAGGCCCTGTTAATTTCCATAGCCAAATGATGTCCCGAAGGCTAGAACAAACGCCTCATACGACGCGGAGAAGTTGTTTCGTCTATAGTGACACGGCCACTTTGGCATCAAACCCGTATTCTGATTACTCGGTAGTGTGGCGTCCGATGTACTCCTGACATCGGTTCAGATATATATGAGGTATATGAAGGACGGCTGGACCGTCACCCTCGGAGTCGGAAAACAGTTGTCGGTTCATCAGCTTCTGGAAAGCTTCACTTTCGTTTTACTTGATTTGCTGCGTTCTTTCTCAAGTCACTCCTTTGGTCTATCCTGCTTCACTCTTTTCATTCTTATAATGTTTCTGGGAAACACGTCTCACGCCCTGTTGGGTCTTCTGGGTTGTCTGGCACTTCTCCCCCAACAGGCCTATACTGCAAGTATCCCCTCAGAAGGTCATCTGTACCGCTTTGGGCGCGTCTATCAAGGCCTCCATCACATTTCTGATTCGACTTCCGACTCGAGCTCTCATGGGGACACGCTCAACTCCACCAAGCGCAGTCTTCCGTCAGAAGATCGTCTGTTCCGCTTTGGACGCGTCTATCAAGGGCTCCATCACATTTCTCATTCGGATTCCGACTCGGGGGACGCGCTCACCCCCACCAAGCGCACCGTGGAGTCTAGCTCCGTAGATGTCGCGACGAGCACAGCCCCAGAAACCGCAAACGTTATCATCCCTGCATATGCGTATCCGTCAAATGGAGCCTGGACGCCTCTCGAAGACCTGTGTGTAAACCCTCATTGACCTGTGGAGTCACAAGCCATTGACACTTCAGCGCAGGATAACCGCCCACCCCGACGTCCACTTCACTGTCATCATCAACCCGGATAGCGGACCCGGCGCCAACTCCCTGCCTGATGAGAACTTCCGCACCGCCGTCCCCAAGCTGGCCGCTCATGACAACGCGCGCGTTGTCGGCTACGTCAGCACTGCGCGAGGCAACCGGGCAATCTCTGATGTGGAGGAGGAGATCAAAAGATATGCTGGTTGGCCGTCTGCTAGCGGGGACAAGGCTTTCGCAGTGAATGGGATCTTTCTTGATGAAGCGCCGACTGGAGACGGTGGTGCTGCGGTGTCGTATTATCAGCAACTTGCTTCTCTGATTAAAAAATCTGAGGGTCTTGGACCGGACAATTACGTACGTTATCTTCTGTTCCCCTTTCCTCCCTAATAAAGAATTGTCTATACAATAATCTACAAACCACACAAACTAACTCTAAATCACAGGTCGTCACGAACCCTGGAGCCGTTCCAGACGCAGCCTACTTCGGGCTTGCCGACTCGACAGTCATTTTCGAGAGCCCGTACAGCGAGTTCCAGAATCTTCTATCGTCGGACATGTTCGATTCAATCAAGGGAACCGACCTGTCGAAGTTCTCCTCCATCGTCTACTCCGTCCCCGAGGACACCGACCTCCAGGGACTGGTTTCGCAGGTCAAGAGTATATCTAGCCAGAATTACCTCGGAGGCCTCGACACCTATATGTCGTACGACCCTCTGTTGACGCGCGTTGTGCCTTTGCTGGGGTAGTGTAGCTAGAGATATACTACTGCATACTGTTTGGGGGCCAGACGTTGAGATACACTAATTTTTATAAGTACTGTTGTGAGGGATTCACTGCGTGGACTCTATACACTTATATTAGTCTAAATATGATATTACCTGCCTTTCACGATATACGAACCGGGAATGCAAATCAGCAGTATCATCTACCAGGACAAAAACTGAGATGCGGTAGAGCGATTTGGTGAGGTGGCCGGCCCAATCGTGGATTATGTCAATAATGATATCATTATCCCGCACAAACCAGGGAAACTTCGAGGTCGTCATAAAGGTTAGCATATTCTATAGTTAACCACTTTTTAACCCCTAACCACGGTCGCTAGCCAGAGATTTAACCCGGTGACTGAAACCTGAAACTTTAACCACCATCCTCGTAACCTGCGTAACAAATGTCTCCGTTATAGGCGGGAGACCTCGAAGTTTTCACCTAAAGCTAACGCGAATTGTATATCTCCTTTGAAATGGATCCCTCTGCTAGCTGTGTGGCCTGCCAGCCTGATAGTCAATTTTGCCCTGAACATGGTGGTGTAGAACAGCCCAACCACGATTTTGAAGCTAAACTCCACGCCAAAAACCAGAAAGGTTTAAGACAGGTCATAGTCAACTTCACTCCATCGTTCGTTCTGTTCTGTTTCCCATTTGTATTTAGTATACTAACCATGTTTGAAACAGATGGGTAGGCACCAGCTGTGTCGTTCTGCTAGATTAATTTTCTCACCTTTTTCAAGTTCAGTGCTACCATGGGGACGGGGATTGTTTCGATTCTTCTTTTCAACCTTCCTTATAACGGCGACTGGCTATACTGGCTATCTGTGATTGTCTTCGCCTTTAATGTGTTCCTATTTTCTCTGTTCAGCCTCATCTCTTTCATTCGATACACTTTCTTTCGAGGTATCTGGACAGCGATGCTGAACCATCCGACGCAGTCGTTGTTTCTTGGTATGTATTACCTTCAAGTGGCAAAACCCATCACATTCTGATACAAGGCCAACAGGCACATTTCCAATGGGACTTGCAACCATCATCAACATGATATGCTTCGTATGTGTCCCGGCGTGGGGACAATGGGCTGCCAAACTGGCATGGGCCCTCTGGTGGTTTGATACCGTTATCTCACTTGCAAATAATATGTATTTGCCGTTTGTTATGTACTCAATATGATCTCTCCCCCTTGATAGTCACTAACACTGAGTCCCAGAATGTCTCGGCATAACAATGAACTTTCGGGGATGACCGCAGCCTGGTTGCTGCCTGTCGTCTCTACTATTGTCGCATCTGCATCTGGTGGGATCGTGGCTTCGGTATTAGAAAACAATCAGCACGCTCTGTGGACCATCATTATCAGCTATATACTTTGGGGGACGGGAGTCCCTTTAGCAATGACAGTACTCGCGATGTACTTCCATCGCCTGACGATCCATAAGCTACCGCTCAGAGAAGTCATTGTGTCGGTTTTCCTTCCACTGGGACCATTAGGCCAGGGTGCTTTCAGTATCATGCAACTCGGGAAGCAGGCTATGAGGGTCTTCCCCGAAACAAATAGCCTTCCTGCGCCAATCTCAGCGGGCCCTATACTCTATATTCTCGGCTTTGTGCTCGGACTCATCATGTGGGGGTTCGCGCTTGTGTGGCTTTTCTTTGCGCTGGCCTCTATCACTCGGTCGAGATTCCCTTTTAACATGGGCTGGTGGGGGTTTACCTTCCCGCTTGGGGTGTTCACGACTGCGACAACTACCATTGCAAAGGAGCTTCCTTCGTTGTTCTTCAAGGTGTTAGGCACTGTGAGTTTTCGGATCACACTCGAGATGTATACGTTTACTGACACAGGAAAGATATTCTCGGTTATTGTCATTTTACTTTGGATCGTTGTTAGCATCGGCACACTTGTTAAATCCTGGCAAAGGAAGATATTCATTGCACCATGTCTGAAAGAATGGGAGAAGTTGGAGGCTGAACGTCATGCGAAGGATTGCCGAGGTTTGCGAGATGCCTAGTCAGCCTTTTTTAATGTCATGCACACAGCGCCATTGATATCATTTTGAAAGCGGACATAAGATGTTGAGAATACCAGTCAGGTCAAGCCCTATTCCAAGTGCTGGTCAGCATTTTGGAGTAGCGGCTGTTACTTGTTGAATTCTGCTGTCTACCAGTGTAACCAGTTATGTGCCATCTTCTAGACCCTGTGGCCCTGGTCTATAATTACAAGTAACCGGTCCCCGCGACACGGCTAAGCTGCTAGACCACTCCTTTTATGTCCATCTTTTTGCCATTCCAGCCCTTTTGTACTCTGCACCCAATGTCAGACCCCCTGTTTGGGATCTTTCCCTATCAACTTGTCTTTTCGGTACTGGTGACCATACACAAAGACTAACCAGAGAATAGGACTGAAAAGCAGCCAAATCCCAGCAATTAGTGTGGCAGTCCATCCAATGCTGATGACCCTAATTAAAGGAATTGCCCCAGCCACAGAACCGGCACCTAGGAGACATCGGAATGCATTATTAGCCGCAGTGGCAGTCGCTGGAGTTGCCACATTGCAATCAACAAGAAGCGTGATCAATGTGCTAGTTGCTCCGGATGTCAAATGCGCCACGAAAAATAACATCACCAGGGGCCCTGATAGATGAGTTTGAAAGTTCATCAACCACCCGTAGCCGGTAATAAAAATACAGCAAGCATAGAGCACTGGGAAGGTAATCTCGAGCCGAACCTTCTCAACCGGCATATCGATCAGCAGGACCTGCCGATTTTTCTCCACTTCAATGCCACACCTTTCCGCATGTCGACGGAAATTCCAATCGATGAGTTTCCCCACGGTCCACCGGGAGGTTAGGCTACCCAGACCGTAAGGAATATAGCACAACCCTATCTGCAGTGCGTTGAACTGATACTTTGCCTCAAGCTGTGACGGCAGCGTGCTGAGAACCGCGGTGTACCCACAGAACAGCAGGCTCGCGAAGCAGATAACAGCAAAATTTTCTTTTTGGCACGCAAGTCGAATGCTGTCCAGAGGCCTTGGTCGCTTTTTCGCGGACATCATATGAAGATTCTCTTCGCGATCTTCTGCTTCCGCGTCGGTTTTCCCAGACCGTCGTCGGATATACTCGATCACGGGCTGATTCCACGTCGGTGCCTCGATGGACCCGTTCCCAACTACCATGCGACATGTCTCCGGGACGAAAAGCAGCAAGAGGACAATCATCACGCCCGAGAAGACTACCAGGAACCAGAACGTGCTGCGCCAGCCGAAATATTGAGTCAACACACCCCCTATAATCGGCCCCAGTGCCAGGCCCAGCGTCACCCCCAGGGTTGAATATATCATGTAGCGCCCACGTTCCGCGCGAGGGACCACGTCGACTGCCACTGACGCAGCGACAACTGCGGCAATGCTGCTCCCAAGGCTTTGCAGGCAGCGGAGCACCATCAATGCTCGGAAACTATTCTGACAAGCGAGTCCAATGTTTACAGCGAGATAGATCATTAGGGACACTATGATTGCCGGTCGGCGTCCGTATGTATCCGATAGACTAGCCACGAACAGGGGCGCAATGCCTTGCACAACCTGGACCGATCAGTAGGGCGCTTGTTACTCTCGTGGTCGGTCCAACAGTTCTTACCATGAAAGTGGTGATGCTAAGATTGATCATTGCTGTGGATACACCCAAATCATGCGCGAGTTGGTTCATCGCCGGGAAATATATGTTGGCAGAGACAGGCGAGAGAAACGTCACCAACGAGGCGAGGGTGATTGTCCATAATTTCTTTCGTTCAGAGAAAGTGGTATATGGCCCTGAAAGGCTGGTAGCTGCCGATTTTGGATCCATCCTACAACGTGTAGGAGAATGTTGTTCAGTGACAGAACTCTCTGGCTGCTCAGGATCTTAACGCTTTACCTGACTTTTATCTCCTGGCCACGACATTCTCAACGTCCGAAAAAGTACAATGTATGTGGTTTTGAAATTGGCTGATCTTCCGCCCTGTGTTTCTTACGTAGAATTTGCGGTACGATACTCGGCCCATAGGAGATAATGTGCTGCTTTCGATTATACCCAAGCGTGTATGGAGTCATTATTGGTCAATTAATACTTTGTACGCAGGGGGTGAGTACCCTAGAACGCCAGTACATAGAACTGGTTAGATATTGTCAGGGATATCAGTCAGGTCAAGTGCCTCCCGAACTGCCATTCGGCTTTTTGGTGCAATGGCTAAGATATATCATACAGATATGTTGTTCTTGGATGGAATTTCTCCCAGACGTCAGTATATACCCCTTGCATTGACTGTCTCTGCATCACTTTGATCTTTCATTGCCTTGCAGTGTGGAGACGTATCATGGAAGTCCCGAATTTAGGACTTCCAATGCACTCTCCACAAATTGCAAGCTTCCTGAGACGAGGACTACTAAGTCATCATCATTCACCTTTATGACACAGACTTGGACGACGGGATACGTGCCTCATTGCTTCTTTACCTGTTCTAAATACCGATACAGCTGATGAGTATCCTTTAGTTGATTTCAGGGCGTGGCTAGCTGATCCTTTAGAGGGATCTCCACCCTTGGCCCCGGAGTAGGTCATCGAGACTCGCTCAATGTTGGGAGACGAGTAGCGCCCACAAGGCAAGTTGGTGCAAAATATTGCTTCGTGAAATAGGAGCTCTATCGCCACCGGTCAGCTAATCGCGCCAACAGCCACGTCGAGCAGATACCGAAGAAGCGACAGCCAAGCTGGCATTCACCCTTTGACAGTCTTCAGCGAGTCCCACTTCGATAGAGTCAATGTCCGGGTGCGTATCAATCACCGTGATGTTAGTGCTTTTGATCTCTCGCCAGTGACTGCAGTACAGTCATTGCTTCGGGTTGCTGTGGCACTGTCCAATTCGACATCCCGGCTTAAGGATCCCCGTCTTTGCCCAGACAATCTCGCCTATTGTCGAGCCAAAGATATCTGTATGCTCCATCCTAGCTCGTGATGACGCGCGCACTAGTTTTCTAAAGCATTCGTCGAGAGGTACCGTCTACCGAGGCAGACTTCGATGATCGCAGTATCGATCCTTTCGAAAGAAACCATGAAAAGCCACCAAGTGAAATCTAGCAAACGGGGGGCTAATAATGGGTAGTCAATAATAAAGACGGGTGTTTCGCATACACCCGAATATAGCAACCATTGATGGAATGAAACGAGGCTCTGAATCTCTCAGATCTGCTGTTTAGCTGCTTAGATCCTTCAGTCTGAATCCCGTCAATATGCAATATTACACATATAGCTAAAGCGTGATCGTCAGTCTTAAATTGTCTTAAACGAACCCCTCAGGCCCCTATGTATGGTTAGTAAGTCGGTATGCATGCATTGACAAATCCGGAACATCATATTCGACATCACTCGAATGTGAAACCCAATGGCTTTCCCTCTTGGTTCATTATAATTCACGCGACAAGTAGTTGAAGAAACCCTCGTTCAGCAGTCGAACCGGAAATGCCAGAAAAGTGGAGCAATTTGACGCGTCGTCGGGTCGTCCGATAGCAACGAGTCCGTCTGATCATCAACTGAACTCCGACAACTTGCTTTTTCGTGCTGACGCAGTCAAGCAACGACATGTGCAGCATACACGTCTGCCGAATTATCTCCTGACGTTGCAAGTCGGTCGATATCCAGATTGTTGGACAGATGACGGCGCTGCATCCCGCGTTCCACCCGCAAGGGATTGACACCCAGTCCACTGGTGAGATGGTCGCCTTTGGATCTTTGCGGGACTTTGCTGTCATTCCCATCGTCATTATCCCGCTGTTGGTTTCTCAAAGACGAGGGAGATGGGTGCTTTATATGCGACGGCTGGCGTTTTTGTGCGTCTGTTTTCTGATCACCCAGACCATTCGTTACAGTCGCTGTTCGCTGGGGAGTAACCTTGTCATTGGGATCTGGTCTGCGTATCTCGCTATCTGGAGCGGCGTGTTTTTGGTTTTTCGAGACTTTGAAGAGTGCCTTATGCGAGTCGAGGAGCACGTCGTTGTAGAAGCTATCCAGCAGTCCCCTTGCAAAGACCAAGCCTATACTTCTCCAGCCACCATGCAGCATGAAGAACCTTCCACAGGAAAGCGACACCAGCGACCAACATCCACAGCACCAGCATCCCAGGAGGTGCATCTCCTCCGCTGGCAAAAATACCCAGAAACTCTTCTCCACCGCTTCTTCTGGGTCCTCGATATGCTCCTCAGTCTCAAAGGCGCCGGCTGGAACTGGGGCCCATCATCGCAATCGCTCTCTCTTCCGAAACGCCTTCCATCACGAACCCCCGACGATAGGAAAAGTCCACTACGCTCTCTGATGCTTACCTCCTCGCTCAAATCCCTAGCCCTCTACCTGCAAATGCTCTTCCTCCAGGCTATCGCTCTGAGAGACCCCTACTTCTGGGGTCCCTATGCCCCGCCCTCTCATCAGCCGGCTCTGGTACCGCAGAGCGCCTTCCAGCGAGCGACTAGAGCATGTCTATCAGCAGCCATGATATGGACTTCAATGGCGCTCATTGCCTCCTCGCTGGCTCTCGCTCACGCTCTCACCACTGCCTGCATTCGCTCACTCCGCAACAAGTCAGGCGCAGTAGCCCTCGAATCCGCATGGCTCCTACACGCCGATACCCTACTCCTCCCTGACACAGGCACTAACGCACGAAAACCACCCACCCCCAAAACTACAACCACCCTCGAATGGTTCTGGGGTTCCTTCTGGCACCAGACCTACAGACAGGGTCTGGTAGAAGCCTCGCGGTGGCTCTCAACACCGCTGGGGAAGACGCGCGCCCGCACCGTAGTCTTCCGCTTCTTGGTCTTCTCCCTCAGCGGTGCTATCCATTGGTGCGGGCTGTATACCGGCTTGGTGCCGCACGGTGGAGCCCCGTCGTGGCGGCCGGTTCTGTTCTTTGCGGTGCAGCCGGTGGGGATGTTTGCTGTGGGGTGGTTGAGGAGGTTGTTGCTGTTGTTGTCGGGGAGGAGTGAGAGGTTGTGGAGGGTTGTTGATATGGGTGTGACTTTAGCGTGGTTGGTGGGGACTGCGCCGTGGCTTTTGGGTGAGTTGGCTTGGACGGGGACTTGGGTGCTTGATGTGCCGGGGTTGGGGGATGTTGGGAGGATGGTTGGGTTGGGGGATTGATGCTGATGGCTGTATTCCTTTTTTCTCGTAGAATGTCTGGTAGATTGCATAATAGACCTTTTCATGGAGTTTGGCATGTGTGCGTATATTGAGGGGGGGGTTCTCTTGACAGTGAATGTAGATACAATTTGGGAGTACTGGAAATCACTGCTACTGATACTTTTGCTACTGCTGATGTCCCACGTGGAGATTGAATAGTGAAAGCTAGAAGCTATACATACCATCTTGGGATAATCGGCTGGGGTCACGCTGTCCAAGGGACAGACCAGTTCATCAGACCCAGCCTACTCCACGGCATGTCCAGGGTCACGTTTGACTTCAGCTGAATTACTTAAGTAAGGGATTGCGTCGTTTGAGTAGCGTATATTGAGGGCCAAGCCCATGCTAGTAATAGTCATGACTGGCAGACTGAATACAGCCTCGGTTGCTATTCTCATCTCATCATCCATCATATGATACTAGGCATCTGCATGATACGGTCATAAGCCCATAAAGGCAAGTCAGTGCATGTATGCATCCACCACCCTATGATATCCATTTCGTGTGATCTCATCAACCAGGCTACGCCTTATTCTCAACAGTCTCCACCACAGCAGGCGCCTTCTTCTTCGTAATCCGGAACCCACCCACCAGCAAAATCAGCGCCTCCAGCCCCAAAACCACAGCCAAAGTGACCATCGCCCCAATAACGCCCGCCACAGTGCGCGTCACGCCATTTTGAGCGCCCTCATCCGCGGAGCTCGTCCCTGCCGAAGACGAACCCCCGTCGGAGCCCGCGCTCTTATCGCACTTCCCACCGCACTGCTCGCACCACTCCTTATCCGACATGACAGCGATCTTCTTCGTCTGGGCGACGAACTCCTCCCACGGGATGGTGGCGCTCGACTGCCCGTACAGCGCGTACTCGGAGGGCGTCGCGTCGCCGCTGATAGTGCCGTTGTGGAAGACGAAGCGCACGCTGATGTCCGAGGTGCTGGGGAACGAGTCGCCCTTTGCGTCGGTCACGAGCTCCCAGGCCATTGACGAGGCGTAGTCCGGGACGCCGGTGAAGTCGGGGCTGGCTTTGGGGAGCTGCGCGAGTCCGAAGTAAGAGAGGAAGGTGCCGTAGGAGCCGAACTGGATGTTGAGCTTGGTTTTGGCGCCCTTATCGGTGACGGTCTTGGTGAGGGCGTCGAGCATCTCGCCGGCCAGTTGGGAGCCGGCGATGGCGCGCACTGTGTCCGAGGTGTTGTACGCGAGGTTGTATTGCTCGATGTCGGCGAGGTGGGAGAGTTGTTGGAGTTCCGAGCGTGTGGGTGTGTTGCTTGTGTTGTGGATGGAAGCTACGTTGAGGTAGTCGAAGATGGCGTAGGCGTTCTTGAAGGAGATCTTGTCCGTGGAGAAGGCGCCGGTGAGTTTGTCTGACAGCGATTCGTAGAAGGACTTGGTGGAGTCGTGGAGTTCCTCGTACAGCGACGAGCTGTAGTAGTTGTTGCTGCTGATCTTGGCATTTTGGCACCCCGTGGCGTCTTGCAGCCAGGTGTTGTCCTCGCTGTCGGTGCCGGTCGTGATGAGCGACAGCGGGATCAGCTGGTAGCCGTCTAGGGGTGCTTGGATGGTGGTTTTGTTGGCGAGGGTCTCGTTGGCCGATGGTCCCACGGGGGGATACACGCCTTGCAGGAAGGCCGTGGCCGAGTTCTGCAGCACGTCGTCGGAGGGCGCCGATGCACTGATCTGGCTGAGCTTGACGACCCCGTCGTTCATGCCCTCGATGTGGTGCTGCGAGTCGGCGTCGATATACCGGTCATGGTAGTAGACACCCGTCTGGTGGACTTGGCTGTATCCCAGGTCGGTGAGCTCGGTATTCCCCAGCACCTTGGCCGTCCGGTCACCATGACGTGCAAAGATATAGGCGCCCAGCACCCTCTCCGCAGAGGCGGGATTGACAATGGTGGCCAGGAGGGCCAGAACAAGGCTTGAGGGCTGTGTGGGGGATCGCATGGTGAGAGCAAACCGATAACCTTAGGACAGTCAATTGAGGGGAAGGTGGGTGGCAGGACCCGTATAAGTAGTCCAGCCCATCAGCCTGACCGGGCGGAAGATGCCGCGGAGAAGTAACGCCAAAAACTCTAGTTCCGGCCTTTTTATCGTTGCATCGTCACCCGTTGAGGAAACATTTGGTCGATGTCTTCTTTCTACTGGCGGACCAGCTGGGTGGGGTCACCCGCCGTATAGTTATCCGCTGTTTTCTTCTCACAAAGATCAATGCAACAGGACTTGCCGCTAAAAGTTCCAGAGTCAAGAATCCATGGTCAATTGGTCAACAATTGCATTGGGTTGTGTGGCGGATGAGGAGTAACTGCGGGGATCGGTAGAGTTGGCGATGATAGACAGGCGAGACGAAAACAACCATGCGGTATCAAGCTTGCCTTGCAGCGTATTAACCACACGGAAGTTTTTACCTAATTTTATCAGTGTGCATGCTATCGCTGATGGGGAACACAAGCATCCAGAGGACGCTATCTATCGGATCTAACTGGGGGGTCTGGCTAGTATGGTTGTCGGCCCACTTCCAACCCCCCCACTCTTGTATCTGCAGGTGGTTTGGAAGGATTGTCGCGATAGTTTGAGACCAAAGTAATTGAATCGACGCTCTGCTGGTATGTGGTGTGTTCATACATCATCCAAATGATACTTGTATCGCCAGTTGAATCTAGTAGAAAAGAAAACAAGAAAAAAAGACCCAAACACCGTTTCATGCATCGTTGCTCCTCTATCATCCCACTACTGCCCCACACCAACACCCTTGTTGCCCATCAGTTCACATCCATTGCGCACCACTCCGACCACTCCCCCGGTCTGCATTGTCTCCGACCCTCCGCCCGCCAGTCGCCATTCAATCTCCGCAAGGCCTTGCAGCCAAGTGATCCGAGTCTGCGGTGGTACCTCCAGCCGTTGCAACTGCTCAGCCAACGCAGCCAGGATATCGGCCAACGCCAGACCCTTGGTGAGCTTCAATGTGTTGAGAGTGTTGAGACACGAAGTCACGTCGCTGGTGGCCAGCAATGTGGTCATGATCTCTTGGATATCCGACGGGTGCGGTGCCGCAATGCAGTCGTAGATGGTTTCGTTGGTGATCAGTTCAAGCTCCGGTACGGGCTCGTCCTTGGGGGCATTCTTCAGTGGGAGCGGTTTACCTAGAACCGCGATTAGTTCGAACTTTGTAAGGGAAGCTGGGGGGTGGGGAGCGTACTGCTGGCATGGCACGCCTGGAGCACATTCAGCGCCCGTCGCATATCACCCTGACTCAACGTGACCAAGCTATCCACAGCGTCGGGCTGGATGTTCACCTGCTCCTGCTCAACAACCTTGTCGACTAGCACCCGAATATCTTGCTCCTTCAACGGGCTGAATCGGAATCGCGTACACCGCGACAGTAGAGCTGGCGACAGCTTGTGGGTATAGTTGGCGATAATGCAGAATCGGGTGTTGGCCGTATACCGCTCCATGATCCGTCGGAGTGCCATCTGTGCGGTCGAGGTCATTGCGTCCGCTTCGTCCAGGATAATCAACTTGTACGATGCGAGAGAGGAGCCGCCGGCTGTCTGGGGCGCCATGGAGAAGATCTGCTTGGTGCCTGTATATACTTGTGAGCTGGAGATGTCGCGTGACGCGAATTCTGGGCGGACGAACTGGCAAATGTCTTGATCTGTTCCCGAACCACGTCAATGCCTCGGTCGTCACTCGCGTTGAGCTCCAGCACCATCTGTCGCATGTTCTTGGTGCCATAAATCCGTCTCGCGAGGGCCAGAATCGTAGAGGTCTTTCCGGTTCCTGGGGGACCGTATAACAGTAGATGAGGGAGACGCTGGTACATAATCAGCGACGACATTTCATGATAGCACGGTCGGCGCGTACATTCTTGTCTACAAATCGGTTAATCGTAGCGATGATATCGTGGTGTCCCGAGACATCCTCGAGGGTATCCGGTCGGTATTTCTCCACCCTACACCAGTCAGTCAGTCATACGACAACAACGGTTCCCAGAGTGGTAGCTCACCAAGGCAGGTTGTCTTGAGCCTCTACTGGCAAATCTGCTGCCGGTCTCTTGGCTTTGGCGTTCGTGTTGTCGGAGCTGAACTGGACCTTGGACGACGGGACATCCACGTCCATTGCATCTTCGACGTCCGACATGTTGGAAAATCGTGAGTGATATGCGAATAAGTGGAATCTTTAAAAAATTCCGAGTGAAAGTACTGATCAGAGAGAACTAGCCGGAGGGAACCATCCAAGACGCGTAGAAAGACAGGCGCGTAAAGAGGTTCGGGGCCGGAAAATCGTCTGGACGGGAGCGACCGAGCAGACCGCCAGGAGAGACGGTCATTCTGGGTGATGACATGAAATACTGCCCACTCTGGCAAGCACCGCCTCCGTCCTCCGCCCCTCAACTCTCTCCGGTGATCCTGGAATCATTCTATCTCCGTCACCGTCTCCTCTCTATATCGTTCGACGCTGTTTTGTTAGGGACGTGTTGATTGCAACTCTCCACACAAGTCAATATGCCCGTATGCCAGCCATCCCCTACTTTCCAAAGCTCTTGGTGGATCCTCCTCCTATCTAACCCCCCCCGATCTAGGCGTACCACTCCATCTTCCTCGAAGACCGGGATGTCGGCTTAATCGGTCTGTTTACCCCAATCTCTGCGCATAGCAATTGAGAGATCTTGCCGCGACCTCGTCTACAGCTGGAATCGAATCGTTTCGTTCTCAACTAATCCCGCACGGCGTCCAGGCAACTTCCCCGTCCTCCCCCTCCGCACCCGCACTCGCGGCCCCGCATACACTCTCCCTCCTCTGCCGCCCAACGTCTCCGACCTCGACGTGCCCACAGACAGCGAATCCTACGACTGCGTCGATGAAATTCTGTCGCTCTTCCGCGCCAATGTCCTGTTCCGCAACTTTGAGATCAACGGTCCCGCCGACCGCATGCTGATCTACGGCACTCTCTTCATCACAGAATGCTTGGGCAAGGTCCGCTCGAACATGTCCTCGCTCGAGGCGAGCAAGGTACGTCCTGTCCCGTTGGAATGCATGTCTTATATACCTATATTCTGACTGTCGCCGCGATAGGCTCTGAACAACGTCGCCCTCGATCACTTCGCTATCCCCGGTGACGTGTCGTTCCCCCTCAACCAGGCCTTTGAGCCCGCCCGTGACCGCCAGGACGCCGAGATGCTCCGCCAGTATGTCCATACTTGTTGTTTGCGACTGTGTTTTATATTTGACCGGCTAATGCTGTGACTAGGTACATCTCCCAGGTGCGACAGGAGATCGCTATCCGGCTACATGCGAGGCTATACCCCGGTGGCGCTGGCCCGTCCAAGGTGAGTGGTCCTCGCTTATCGTAACCAACGGACATCAACTAACAAGTGGATACGCAGTGGTGGTTAAGCTTCGCGAAGAGAAAGTTCATGGGAAAGAGCTTCTAGGCTAGGAGGGACTGGATAGATGGACACCGCTTTTTATTTGGTCACAATTGAGCGTATGAGAAACCCAATGGTCATTTTCTGTGTTTCTTGAAATTCTCTATGATGCTTTTTGAGCTGTTATAATATTCGTACATGAAATTTTCCTTTCTTCCCTGTGCTGTGGCAGCTAAGCTGGTGCGGCGGGGGCCGACGAGTGAGTCTCCAGTGACGGTAACGGTTCGCCCTGGCTATGCCCAGCTCCGTCGTATAGAACACAGGCACTCGCCACGAGCATAAATATGCAGCCGCATGGAGATCTGGCATGACGGGGTTTTGGAAAGGCTGTCGTCAGAGCGTGCTCGAACCCGTATCGGTGTGGTTGCGTTTCGTACATTCAATTAACAAAAGAAAAAAAAGGGTTCACGAATTCATTTCAACGTCCGCCCCAGTGCTACTATCCGCCGTCGTCGCGCCGGTGTCCATCCTCCGCCTCTTGCGGCTGGGGTTCCCCGCTGCCTGGATTGTCTGCTGCGTCGGTAGCACTCGACTGGCGTGGAATATATACCCCTCGGCACCGCCGCGCCCAGACATCATCGGGTGTGTCCGGCCCGGAAGGACCTGCCAGGAGCGCACGCGGGAAGTCTCAAGCGTAGGCGCCAGCAGAAGCGTCGGGTTGACGTAGAATTCCTCGGCCAGCTCGGGGTAGAGCGGGTCCTGGGAATCGACCCCGGCGGTGTCTGTCGTCTTCTCTTGTTCTTGCCGCCGCTGGCCGAGTTGGTTGCGTTTTGTGATGTAGGCGGTCTTGCGCGCGGTCGAGTAAGAATCCATTACTTCGGTGAGGGGCTCGATGACGGGCGAGTAGACGGCGACTGGGGCCGATCCGGACAGTAGTGGGACTGTGTTGCGCAGAACGCTGATGGGCTTCATGAGGGTTGCGACGACGAGTCCGTCGAAGCCGCCGGCGCGGGCTTCGTTCACCACCGCCTGGGTGCGCTCCCACCGGGCACGTTTCCGGTAGTATGTGCTGCGTTTGCTGGATTTGAGGGCGGCGATTTCGTCGCTGGTGAGGAGCTCGGGTTCTTGCGCGTAGATGGTGTCTTCTTGCGGTTCGAGCAGTTGGAGCCAGGAGACGGGCTTCAGGTGCGAGTAGAGCGGGTGCGTCTCGCTTGGGTTGTCTTGGTCGTAGCCGAAGTATTTGAGGAGCGACATGTTGGGTTGTTTGTTGGCGTGCAGGAGGACGATCGAGTTGTCTGCGGCGGACATGTGCGTGTGTCGCGGATGCCGCGAGGCGGGCTGCTGCTCCCCTTGAGCACCTTCGACGGATGGTACGTCGTCTGACCCCTGTTGTTCCCGGTCGTCTTCGCCATCGTGCGGGTATAGAATCCCCATCCGTTCCGCCATCGCCGCCACGACCAGCCCGCCCGTTTCGTCAATCACGAGGTAGCGACCGCGGGGCTTCGACGCGACTGCGCCGTCGAGTGGCGAGTTCCCGGCATGGTGCACATTCGCCCAACACCCCAGCAGCCCGATCAGCTCGTCCCGCAGCTCCATGATCCGCGCAGCGTCCTTGTCCTGGAGCATGTAGTTCGTCAAGAGGCTGACGTCCATCGGCACAACCGTAAACCGCTTCATGTACTTCTTCCGCTTGCGCAGGGTGTATTTGGCGAGCGAGAACGCCGTCTTCTGGTCGAGCGCCGAGTGCGACTCGAGAATCTTCGCGATGATCTCGCGCCCGGACCCCGTCGACTCCTTCTTCAGCGCCTCGATCTCCTCCAGTGTCAGCTTCTGCGCCGACCCGTCGTCCACAATCTCGCGGTTTGTGCGCATCGGCAGGCTTTCCCCGTTCACGTCGGGCTCGTCGCCGTCGCCTTCGCCGTCTGCGATCAGCGTCTCTGCGTGTAACTCGGCTGCCGTGATCAGGCGCAGATTGTGGCCGTTGTTTTCGCTGGCGTCGTCGAAGACTTCGAAGGTGAGGTAGAACGGTCGCCCGATGATCTGGTTGGCGGGGAAGGTGCCATATTTGCCGAGGAAGATCATTCTAGTTTTCTGTTAGCACACGACCATCCCCGAGACCACGAATAGGGCAGTAAGGGAATATCGGTCATACGTGTCAGGCACCACCTTCAAGATCTTGGTCGCATCCGACGGCAGTCGGAAGGCGACATATTGATTGGGGCGCACGTAGGAATGCATCGCGCTCAGAGAATCGAGTCTGTAGCAATGCCTGTAAATTCAGACCAGCTCTATCCTCTAGTCTCAGACCAACACTGGCAGTTTCCAACCAAGTCAATCACTTCTGCAACCGTGCCAAACTGGATCATCCATCCCAATTTTTTTCTCTATGCGATAACGCACGGGCCATGCGGAGTCGCGATAGTGATTATGTAATTATACTCACCGCCCTAGGAACCCCGTGTTCTTCCGGATAACGGGCAGAATGATGTGTATGGTTACCGCCCTGTACACTGTATAGTTACAGACACGCCGTCATTTGGGGAAGTTGACCCACTTGGCTGCATCTCCGCCATTCAGCATCGTTGAAGCTACTGAGTCCATCACTCTCCATAACCAACAGTGGCGCGGTGGAATCTTGATCGATATGATAGGCAACACCTCTGATCGCTGTGGATCCTTATATATGAACAGGTTGAACCACCAACTTTCGTCACTGAAGCTAGTTCTTTCTATTTACCCAGACCAAGGTTGGTTATAGGAACGAAAAGCATGGCCATCCCCTCATGCTAGCTTTACTCTTATGACTAGTCAATTCGACATACTAAATACACCAGTGGTACCTTCAGTCTCTCAGATCGCTCTAGGCTGACTGCATCAACTGTCACTCCCCCGTCCCAGCCTGGTCTGCCTGTGTCGCCTCTCTAAGCCACTGACTAGTCTCGTTTACGATCCGGTGGTTTACAACTTCGCCTCAACCATCCATACTTCATTCGTGCATGGGGTCTTTGGGTTCTATTGTCTTTTGGTTGCCCGGTTAGGATTCGCTAGCGGTATTTATATTCACGAACGGGGGTCCACACGTTGCTCCAGCCTTGCACGTCGGCGAGTGCGCCTGCTGTCCTACGTCCGCTATAAGAGCTAGCCTTATTCGCCTTCATGGTGTTGCGCAAGCGAGCTCCTCCACACCTGTCAATTCTCGGTCAAGGAAACGCTCCTGCGGACTATCGCTCAGATCCTCGCTCGTTGACCCCCAAAACCGCCCCGACCGTAAAACCCGCGTCGTCTTCTCCCCCAAAGCGTTTGACCCGCCCCAGGCGAGCCCAGAGCTCTCCGCACCCCCACCGCGTGCCGTCTTTGCAATCGGTCTACTCCCCTGATCTCCGTACGTCACCGGCCTTCGATTTGATGCCGTTGGAGCAGGCTCAGAAGTCTCCGGTTCGGAATTCCCCCGGCGACAACCCAGTTCCGTGGATGGACGAGCTCGTGGAACGGCCAGGCCAGAGTCGCCCCCAGTCGGTGGATTCGGCACCGCGTTTCAATATGGAAAACAATACACATAACGAAGGACCCGTAGACGAGCAGAGAGGTCAGGGCCGTGTTCCCTCGATCCTCGTCGCGGGGAACCAGCGGAAAGCAGAGGGCCAACAAGCCCCTACCCATGCTCACGATCAGCCTCCGGTGCAGTTGCAGTCCAACAATCCGTTTTTGAAGGCTCAGCAAAACCATTCGGATAATCGAACGTCAGATGCGGGATCGTCATTCACATCCCAGGATGGCGCAAGCGGACAACTGGGCCAGGGTGAGTTCAAAGACGCGTTCTCTATTAAGAAATGTTGGCTGACCAAGAGTAGATGAAGGCTATATTCCTATGACTGCACGCATATCGCTTGTTGACGAAAGTAATTCGGAAAATCAGTCAGCGACCGAGACATCGAACGCGACTGCCCAGTATCAGCATCCGGGGCAAAGCCAACCTCCAGTTGATCAAGTCAACAACGATCAATACATAGCTTTGCCCATGTCTGCTTCCGATCCGCTTCGACCCATGTCATACGACGGCCAGGTGTCCGCGTACATGACACCGCCGTCGGGGAAGTTGTCGCCGTTCGATGGAGGCAACACCCCTGCGACCCCTTCTACACCAGCTACGGGCTCGTCTCACGTCCTCGTCGAATTCGATCAATCCTTGCAGTCAGAGCCTAGCCCTGCTGAGGTGCCTCCGCCGAGCTACGAGTTGTACAAGCAACGGGAAATCCACAAGGACCACGGAAAAGCCCCGTCTTTGCCGGATCGCTCGGTCACGGGACCCAGCGGCGCTGCCGTCTTTCAGCCCAGAATACTCCCCCCTCTTTCCGAGGCCGAAGAGAAGCGGCAGAGAGAGCAACGGTCGGAGACTTATGCTATCAGACATATCAACTGGAAGGATAGCACGGGGAAGATGCGCGAATCCCCGATTTTGGTTCAGAATAAGAATGGACCCTGCCCGTTGTTGGCTCTCGTCAATACGATGGTCCTGCGAGCCAGCGAAAACGACCCTCCACCCATCGTACGGGCCTTGCGGACTAAAGAGCAGATATCGCTCGGCTTATTGATCGAAGCCTTATTTGACGAATTGACGACACGTCTGGGTCCTGAGGAAGAGCTTCCGGATATTGAGGCTCTGAGCCGATTTTTGACTATGTTGCACTCCGGCATGAACGTCAATCCCCGGCTCACATTGGTATGCTACCATCGTCCTTTCTATGATATTAGCTGTATTAACTCCGTTCTAGACATGGAGGGAAGCTCTTGGGACTTTTGAGGCTACCGATGATATCCAGCTCTATGGTACCTTCGGAGTGCCATTAGTGCACGGCTGGGTTGCGGCCCCTAGAAGCGAAGCTGATTATGCACTGGCGCGCCTAGGCAAGTACCACGAAGATATACAGTTGCTTCCCTTCCGCAAACATGAGCTTGAAGACCGTGTCACCCGCGGGGAGTCGCTTTCTCCAGAAGATGAAGAAGTTCTGAAAGATATTCAAACCATCGAGAAGTTTACGGATATCGAAAACGCTACTCAATTGAGCGCTTTCGGCCTAGACCATCTGACCAAAAAATTGGCCCCTGGGTCGTTTTCCATCCTGTTCCGCAATGACCACTTCTCGACTCTTTACAAGGACCCTCGTTACAACCGGCTTTTCACCCTCATCACCGATGCTGGGTATTCCAATCACGCAGAGATCGTGTGGGAGTCCCTGGTCGATGTAAATGGTGCCGTCTCGGAGTTCTACTCGGGCGATTTCCGCTCCGTGGACCATTCTCAATCCCATTCCTCCCCTGGGGCGTCCGACCCGTCCGGCCCACGAACATCCAGCACTGCTCTCAAACCCCCGGTCCCACGGAAGGACGGGGCCCCATTGACTGCTCAAGAACAGGCGGATGCAGACTTTGCCTATGCACTCTCGCTACAGTACCAGGAAGAAGAGCAAGAGCGCACGGCAGCCAATCGCAGCCGTGTCCGAGTACCCTCCACGTCTACGCCGCAGAACAACCGGGCTACATCCCAATCATCCGGTCAAGGTCGTCGGCCCACTTCTACCCGCCAGTTTTTCCAGCCCCAGCGGGGCAACACCGAAGAAGACGGTCCTCCGCCTTCATACGAACAGGCGGCTAAGAGTCCGGAATACTCCCCAGAACGAACACATCATCTAGTGCCCGAAACTCCTTCATACACCCCATATACCAGGAACCAGTACGGGCGACGACCGGCCAGCGGTGCCGTCGGCGCAGGGCTACCTGATCGCAGGGATCGGAACAAAGACTGCGTGGTTATGTAAATGCAGCTATCAACCCATCTGGCGTGGAAAGGCTTTTTACAGCTCGCCACCACGTCAGCTAACTTTATGACGGACGATATTTATGATGCAATGTATTCTACATAGATACCAATAGCAACAGCGCCTCTAGTACGCCTTATCCTTGTTGGGTTTGTGGATTTTGAGATGCTCGCGTTTGCCTTGTTTTCTTTCCGTTTTATCTCCTATTCTTTTTCGTTTAGGGGAACACTTAGGGCATTTATGTTCTGTCTATTTTTCCCGGCCGCATACACGTTATGCTACATGGTATTGAGCAACGGCATTGGTTATCATTGAAATAATGCAATAATATACCTTTTGGTTCTTACAGGCCTTTGATCACAGAACTTGGGTGCAGTGTCAATCAATGTTTGAAGATAATATAGTGCCCACATTGTCCATTGGAACAGTTCGATGACTGGCACGTGCTTTTTCTGAGCGATCGACGACAGCATCAGGAAATGACCGAAACACTTTCCGTCTCAATACTGCAGGATGGCTTGCTATAGACCTCGTTGCTCTAGACCTCGGTACTCCAGTGCTGGTCAGTACTGAATGATTTCATTGGCGGGAAATTCTCTAGACATGGCCCTAGTTGGTCCTCTTGCCGATAAGACTTCTTCAGGTTCCGACCCATAGTTACCTCCACTGACGAGCGCTAATATATCAATCTGCAGACTCATATTTTCCGAATCGATCCTTAATCTGGAGATCGCATGGATATTACGTCTCGGCCCGCCGGTCCGCCGGTTGAATAGATAAGCTGTGGAGTGTATTCGTCCACCTCTTGTCCTTCTCTTGAAATGCTCCTATGTTTGTTGGTTATTGCCGCGGATTGATTGTGACATCCTGTTTCCTGTGGGGTATAAGATGAGCTCCACCATGGTGTGATTTATCGGAAATTACGCACCTCGTTGATGAGTTCGTAAAGAACGTTTGATTGACGCGATGGAATAACCATACAATGATGGCGTTTACTCGGAGACAGCTCCGTGTATTCTTGAGTCTGTGGATATATCAACTATGTAGCACTTAATCAGATATAGTCCCGTCTGTCACCTTCACCTGGATCGAAATGATCATCCAATATTACGGCTTTGCTTCACCCGCTGTCGTCTGAAATCTCGCTAACATGCAGCCTTTACTTCTTCTCTCCCTATCGGTCTTCCTTCAAGGCTCCTGGGCCGCCCTTGAATGTCCAGGGTCATTCGAGGACATCTCCGCTGCGGATTATGTAGCCAACCTCCACCCAGGATGGAACGTAGGGAACACTCTTGACGCGGTCCCTGACGAAGGCTCGTGGAACAACCCTGCCGTCGAGGCCGCCACCTTCGACCAGGCCAAATCGGCTGGATTCAAGAGCATTCGTCTTCCAGGTCCGGTCCCCAGCGGTCTCTTCGTACCTGGCCATCACTAACGTCGACCAACTAGTCACCTGGGCGGATCACTTCACGGGCGAATCCCCCGACTGGACAGTCGACGAGGCATGGCTTCAGCGCGTCGCCGACGTCGTGGACATGATCACCTCGCGCGATCTCTACGCCATCGTCAATGTGCACCATGGTGAGACCCCTCCTAGAATGG